CAGACACATCGGCGACGAGCTCGATGCTAGAGTATCAAGGCCATCCTCAGGCAGAGATCCACCATGTCGTCGGTGGTGGGGACGACTGGAATTTGGTTCAACCAACCCCTTCGCAATTTCGACAGACCTCTTTCTCCGCGCAGTGGTCGCTCATTCACTCGAACGTTGATCAAGTCCCATACTATAAAGAGTGGGAGTAAATTAGATTACACCTCGGAATTCGAGGAATTCCTGAATATTCATTTGTAGCGTATTAGTCTTGCGGATTCACATACCTTGTAGCCTTAATTAGTCGTACTATTTTGCGTATTTATTGAACTTATGTGCCATTGGAATATACCCAACGAGAGGGCGAATGAGAGAAGCACAACCGTTTGATATCCTGGCTGTTCCATGACAAGACATGCTGCTATATCGTATCAGTCACAATATCCGGATGGAACACAAGTGATTCGACTTGTGACAGCAGTCCAAGTGTGTCAGGGATCTTGACCATATCATTTATAAGGCATATAGGATGCGCAAAGCGTTTCCTTAGCGGCAGAAAAAGTTCGCAGTTGCGACAATAACCACACACTGTTGGGTCAAGGTGTACTTCGAGTACACATGCACTACTTACGATATGTGAGAGTTTGTATGTGTGTCCTTACCGGAGGATCAGTAAAAATGACATGAGGCAGTTAGTTTACTCTGATTCGCAAAGAACGGAATGAAATCACTGCTGCAACAATCATCTTTCCAGAATTCATCCCGAGAAGTGCGAAATATAAGCGCGCAGTTGTTGTTGCAAACTTAACATACACATAGCGCTAAATGGTCATGATCGATTTGTAATTGATTTCATTTGGATGATAGAACGAGCCCGCAAAATGAAGGGAAAAGATGGCAAAATGGGACACCTCTGTATCCGAAATTAGGGTAACGCAAGAAGAATGCACGATAAACCACAGGTTGTGCTGAGGTGAGCGGCATCGATACTAATTGCCGTCAACCCACAGCAAGAATCATTTCGTGGCTTAGCCAACTTAAAGTCCTGGGAGATAAGTCGACCACACGAAGAGTGGCGGAGATGGTTCGATCAGCAACCAATCACATTGAAGAGCATGGGATGTAACCTTACAATCCTATCATGATGATAGTGTAATACTGGGAACATGTAACAGACGCCTGCGATGCCGTGACAGCAGGGAACGGGCGACTGGTGATCAAACCTGCGATGATGAGTGGCGCCACTACTCGAATATTTACCATTGAAGGACTTACCAACACACGAAACAACACTCCATTTGGCTTTTGCATAGGAAACCATAAACATGTTTGCTTGCGTTCCTTCGAGAGGTCGGACAGCCGTACCCATTTGCAGCAGGCCGATCAAGCACTTTAATCCATAATCAAAAACATCCAAGCGCGTGCCGGTGTGGTGTGACAATTTTGATTTTCAACAGTCAGAGTGTGGCGTAGCAGTGGAAAGGACCATTGGCACACTATGATCCGAAATCAAGGGCGCGCTTGGAGAACCAGTACGAAAAAGTTAAAAGCACGATGCAGCGCATTCACGACGCTTGAGTGTGATCGGTAAATTCACTTATGTAAATGAAGTATGATAGGCGCTAGAATCAAGCCACCGTGCATCCAACGAGCAGACAATACTTAATGAGTGAGTTGTTGTTCCCATAAACTCACAGGCGAGCGCCAATCGCCGAGTGAGAAACAGAATTCAACGTACATATGCGGGATAGTGAATTAAAAACTCGGCTCTGCAACTAGGTTAAGTATAGCAACATCGACCCACTGGAGATTTGGACTTGCATTGTGCGGGTGACTATTACTTGCCTTGGCACCACAACTTCGATTTACAGCCTGCAAGTCACAATCAGAGTGAATGCACCTTACGGAACAATCTCGTCGCTTGCGGGTGTGAAAATTTTGGCAATGATGCAAGCAGCGCTTGTACTCTGTCTCAAACGTATGTTGACTTCAAGTTGAAGTCACTGTATAGAAGAGATGGTGCCACCGCACCTACCCCTGCTCGATGATGCCTTTTGATCTACAGTGATAATGTTCACTCTACTGAGGGTTTCAAGGTTTCATGGTTACTTACCCACAATCATGGCATCGACAGCAATAAAAATTTGTTCAGTTATCATGCAGGAACGTAAGAGTCCGTTGTGACGCCAAGGAAGGACTCGCGTGTTCCCAGTACTTGGCCTCCAGTTGGAACCAGCACCCGCGATACTCCTCCACTACTAAGAAACTATTGCGCTTGGATCCTGGTACAAACATATTTCTGTCATCATGAGGTGTCGCATACAGTGACTAAGAGACGTCCTGGGAGGGCCGTCATCTTCGTCCCGGAGATATCACACTTTACAAACCTTGGTTTCATGGAAATTTCGATCGCTAGCTCGCACAGGCACAGTATGATTGAAGAACGTTCCAGTCGCCAAACAGGGTATCTGGAAACTCTGTACGACTTGGCTTGCAATATTAGCTTTGACGATGCATCAGCTCACACGCTCATAAGTGTCTCTTTACCTTTGTATTTGTTCGGACAGAACGTGCCCTCGATGTTACACGTGCGCAATTGCTAGGCTGTGTAGAAAACACCATTGCATTCGTGTTCCCCGGAGCCTGAGGTCTGAGATCTGATTATGAGGATCAAAAAGCAGGGGATGTGAACATTGCCAGCTAACTGAAGTCCGAACTAGCTAGACCTGTATTTGAATTATTTCGAATTCAATTGTCAATAATGTTACGTAATAAAACTTAGTTATACTTGAGCTCGCTAAGTGGCGCATCAGGGAAAGGTAATTCACCAGTGCTACAGCGTGCTCTGTAGCACAATCCAACCGGCTGATAGCCCAATGACTGGTGACTGCTCGGACTCAAAGTGCACGTACACGACGACTTCAGCATATCTAATACAACAGCAGGCGACATCGCGAAGCTCGCGGCCCCTTAGCTCAAAGCGTTATGCAGCAAATACTCAACGCACCATAATAGTACCACTACGTCGTGAATCTATACCTCCTTCCATCAGTCTAACTTGTTTGTTTTCTCCCACTGAACCAGGAATAACCCATAGCATCGGGAGCAGAGGTGTCGGAAGGTTGAAAGTTAGGAGAGGAGGAGAAACAGCTATGGGGAAGATGTGCAACACACGGCATATCACGTACGTGACGAAAGGCTTGTTTTACGTCTATGTAGATCAAGTTGTTTTTTGTCGAAATTGTGCGACAAATCAGAAGTGGAGATGGGCAGTGCCCACGCGGTATGACGGAGGTACCACGGTGGTCCGACAGTGCATCATGATTTTTAGGACGCTCCCAAAAATGGTAGCAGAAGATGTCATAAGTGGGAGTTCCACCTTACCTGCCCCACCAGCGCTACTGGAACGTCATGGGACGTACGCCAATTCCGGTTCTACTGCTTCACCAAGTTAACTTGCTTCTTCAGGATCTCCAGGATTGAGACGTGTGCTACGAGCGCTTACTACTAGGGCCTGCCGCTTTATCTCGAGACCTTGATTTCTAGCTCCAGAAGACGAGTGTTACAGCAAGCGTATAGTTCCGAAGCTTGTATGGCATGAAGGGCCTTGGAGGTGTGCGGTTCGAAAGTTTTAGGTAGCTGCGACGACGATACGACATGTATTCGGACATCCACACTATCTACGCAGGAGGGGCCATCAGACGACCTCAGGCTTCAGAGGCGTGCAGTCCAGAAGTTTTTGGGGCGCGTCGTGTCCCCGACACCACTTTAGTGGAAGAGGGTTTGTTTCCCTGCAAATGGACCCGTGAGAAACGTGCGCTGGCTTAGTCAGTGGGAAAGTGTGGCGCTAGCCTTTTCTTTCTCAAACGTTGCGGTTTGTGTCTTTGATCTCATTGATTTGCCGAAAATCCGTTGGTCTACTCTTCCACTTACAGATTTACTTCAGAAGCTTCATAAGCTGACCATCGAAGTGTTTGGTTGAAGAGGAAACAGGTGAATTTCAGAAGCATCCAGCAGAGCTTTTGGTTGATGTCGACTATCTTGTCTTAGTCTCTTCATGTGGTGTCGGCGACTGGCGCAGCCGAGCGCCGCTACGATATGATACCGGCCATAAGCTAGCTCCGTTTCTGACCGTTTTTCAGGCTCCCAAAGAAAGAAGGTGACCCCTGGTGGGCACCTCTTTCTGGGAAGCCAACCCCTCGCAATAAGCAGTTCTGCTGTGCACACAGCTAGTCCAGAAGTGTCTCTAGTCATCTTATTAAAACTTCATCGGTGCTTAACTGAGTAAGTCAGAACCAAAGCAACGGTCGGTACATGGTCACCCGGCGCCTATCGTGATTCGTGACACTCGCAGTCTAATGCATGCAGGTTTTTTGTGCGAATTTATGTTGTCAGTACTGACATGGGTCATAGATCTTGCAGTACAGTATGCAGGTCATCTTGATCGCACCCTAGTCTAACTGGACAGTCCACTTTTTGCACTCAAATATCTAGACAGGCAATACACTCTGCCGTATGTGATCCTTTGATGTGCCGTAATTTGGAAGTCATACCTGGGCGTTCACCGTTATCATGACAGCATCCCACATCCCGAACAGGTGACAAGTCTTTGCAACTGTGCTGCGCTCTGCCATATGTGATCTCCTGCTGTGCTGCAAGTACCAGGCGTGCACCCTTATCATGTTATCATCCCACATCCTAAACAGGCGACAAGTCTTTATAACTGCACTGCTCTTTAAATTCAAATAGCGCCTGCAGGAGGTTTACGCCGAAGATAGCTTTCGTCAAGTAATGCAGGACATCCCAACGTATATAATCCTTCCTCACCACAATGCCTTGAGCATCCCCAGTCTCCATACACCACCACCTTCTCCCCATGTTTTCTACAGCTTGTCCCCCATCGCAGCGCCTGTATGTTTCCCCTAAGCCCGCCATCTCCCCTTCACCCTTGCACAATGCTCGCTACGAAGGATGGGTCCGCCCTCCGATACCACTTCCCCGTGTTGCTTTTGCTATTGATACCCCCTCGCGCCATCCTTATAAGGTTACAACCACCAATAGCCGTAGTTGCAATTCTAAATTTATTCAGACACCATGTTCACTTGTTACTAGAACCTCATCCCTATGCAAGTCACCCCCGCACAAATTTTTGGGCACAAGGTGATTTCCTTTTCTATGGTTCTATTTTCATTGAAGCTTAATTCGCTTTCTTAGCATCTGCTGATATAATGGATCACGTTGACTCTCAACGCCGCGATGTCCCTCATTCACGGCCATGGAACGGTGAGTTCTGTCGCCATCTATTCAAATCATTATACGACCTAATGTGGCACCTATGCTCTGTCTCTCCAAGACGCTTCTGAGATGCGCACCAGAACTCAACATAATACAGAGAATGCATGGCTCATATGTACGCGTCTACCTTCGTTCTATTAACTTGCAAGGTGTTCAATCGTACGGTTTCCTAGATGACCATTCCACACGACGAACAATGCCATCAAACATCAACGGCACCCAAAAGGGTACGGCTTAGACGCACTTATGTTTGTGGACTGATTCTCATACATCCCACCAGCCCGCCCCCATCCGTTTTTTGCGCCACTACTCGTATCATTGATATACGACCTGCGCTATCCACCCACCACTCTCCGTTTTCCATCATCATCTCCATTTGCGGGCTGCGGGTACGAGCTCCTCCGCGTCCCACTTACGCCAGAAAGGCCTAGGCAGATACGGCTTATCAGCCCAAATTTTCCTTGGGCGTTTGACATCGGCCCAACTGCCGGAGAAGAGGTTGTGACGTGTCTTGACGTTCTCTCTACTCTGCACGCTGAATTGCAGCGCCCACTTACAGACATGGAGTGGGGCACTGCTGGAGACGAAAAACGCGCGAGTCTTATCAGAGCATGCGACCGTCGCCTATGTATACAACTTGCGTTGCACGGGAGCTCAAAACGCACTAGACCCACAGTGGGCTTTGAGAAGCCTGTGCAGCGAGAGCCGCTGCTGCTCCGTGTCGACTGGCTTGGATCTAGCGTTGCATTCATGGGACTTGTCAAGGATGAGGCTGTTGCGAGGAGGAGATTCGTTCCAGGCGGTGGGGATTACCCTGAGGTGTGGGTGGTGAAGTTCCAGAAATTATGACTCTGAAGGTCTGGAGAAAACGTACACATATCTTACTGTTGCCAGTGATGTCTATTGTGTGAATGCTACGGGGAGTGTGGCGCTGCTTGCGTTGGAATCGGGTGTTGAAGTCGTGCAAGTCAACAGCCGCTGGTAACGAGAGGAAGGAAGATCTTGCTGCGGACACCATGCGATGATAATGTAATGATAGCAATGCTGGACACGTTGGATTGGCGCAGCCGCCTGACTGTCCGTGCACACAGGCGTCTAGATGATTCTCTGCCACCGTACAGTTATATGCTCGATCATTGCAACTTGACACCGCGCAGGTGCGACACTGTCATTTTCGCGATACGTTGCCTTGGTGTCATTTTGGTTGTGATGCATTTCAGAGCACGCACCACCGTGTCACATCTTTGCTCTCTGCCCGGCCTTCTTGGCTATCCGTCGTGCGTATAGCGTGCAACTCAGTGGCGAGACCTCCTCGTTCATTGAGGCAAACCTACAGATCATATCAGGGAGGTTTTCGATAGGGCCACACGGCGCTTGCTGTCTGACGACGCAGGACTGTAGCCACGAGAGTCAAACGGGTTATTATGTGGGTGCATCACCCCCACTGTGCACTCAGCGTTCAATATTTTCCTCCCACGTTACACATCCCTCACTGAATAGTTATGCGTATCTTTTGTCCGATAGTTTGCGAGCTTGGCATTCATGATGTGCTTGGTTTGTAGTTGAGTCATACATTGCTCTATCAAGGTACTTAGGTACCTGAGCTTATGTGAGCGTAGATGGCCAAATTATTCATATTAATCTCACTCCGCAGTCCGCCCTCTTCGAACACCCTCATGCAACGATTAAACATGCTGGTTGCCGAGCTCGTTTCCGGCTCTTTATCTTTTGCACCTCCTGAGTATACCGGCGATCATCATTAATCTTCAGGACGATCCCTCTCGCCCCATGATGTTATCTAGTCCCTCGACTACATACAATGGAGACACTGACATCGTTTATCGCATGCTCTAAGTACTGGGAGTCACGCAAATTACTTCCGCGGAATTAACGCCCCTACATATGGTAAACGTCGATCACGCTTATTTCTGGATCACATTGCATACATATCAAATAACACAGTAGTATATTAATCACACCTTCACAGGAGGCAGCTCCCACTGATCTGGCCCAAACCGCGGTATAGACATCATCACGCCCGCATTGTTTCTCGAAGGTTTGCAAAACGTGCACATACTCTGTTTTCCAAGACTCGACAGCCATACAGGATTTATGACCGTTAGTCCTTCGTGTTTGTTAGCATCTATTATATTTGCAGCTGCGGCGACAGACCTTTGATCCAGGTCTGTGACGTTTGGACTACTTCAGAAAAGACGAGATAGTCTGGCGGGGGGCGATTTGCAAGCACAGACATTGGATGGATGAAAACATCCTCGGATACTCCCACCGCCGCATATGGGACGCCTTTAGCAGTTGAAAACTTCCCCCCACTGGCGTTTTTTTGTATTAGATCTTTCCGTACTGCTACTTGATCGATAAAGGCAGCAACAAGTAGTTGACGTATAGCTTTTAGCTAAAAGAATAGTGTCATCGAAGGTAGAATGGCATAAACAGGACACCGATTACCTGCATGTCGTTAGGAGGTCGGATGTTTTTATTGAAGCCAACTTCAGCGTTTTGGAAATTTGCTTCTGCAATGCTGCTTAGCTGAGCTCGCAGTTTGTGTATTTCTTCCATGGCCTGTAATCTCCGTCGTGTTGCTGCGAGATATCATGACTAACAGACATACCTTGGGCCTTACAAAATGGGCCTTACAGAACTGGTGACCCCCTCCAGAATACTCGTAGGCCCCGACAACTGAGAGGAACCTGAAAATGTCACTATTGAAATTACCCAGCGATCCATGAACCTGTTTTAGTGTTCAGCAAAATGTTGGACAAAGAGATGGAAGACGAGCCTGCTGAGACTCAAAGAATGTCCGCCGTCGGGTCTTCCTCGCCTCTTTCGCTCTGACCGAAGCATTCTTGATATGTCCCAGTACTTCATCGTCACCTATCGGACTCGCTATCGGTATCCAAACCTTCTTCACGAAGAAAAGGGTCCCCGACAGACATAGCTGCCACAATCGAGATCACATAGGGTAGACAACCATGTTGTTGACTCCCAACAAGCATTCGAGAGAAGCGCGGAGAAATTGGGAACAAGCTCATCGCCTTCCCTAGAGGCGTCACTTGGCCCCCGATCGTTGACATAGACACCCCCGCTTGCGATATAAGAGGTGCGCTACTGAGCGCGCCAAGACGAGTGAGGACTGTCTCAGCCTTTTTTAATACCTGCCTATCTGGAGGAGTTGGGAAAGGGAAGTTGACAACGGCGTCAATGTTCATGCTCTTCATCTGCAAAACGACGCCCTCAATCGGCGTGCGCATGATTTCAGGCTGTGAAAATGACTCGAAATAATGCTCGTAAAGAGCGGAGGAATAGAGTCTATAGCAATGTCCTGGACCTGTGCGACCCGCGCGACCAGCTCGCTGGGCGGCGGAAGCCTTGGAGATCCAGCTGACCTGAAAGGACTGAATACCGCTCGCCATATCATAATGTCGCTTTAAACACTGTCAGAGTATGCTTCTCACTATCGATCGAGATGCTCGTACCTCTTTCGCTCGGCCACAATCGATTACATAGCGTATGTTTGGGATCGTAAGGGAGGTCTCCGCAACATTTGTTGATACTACCACCAAACGATAGCCTGCTGGTGGTACATCAAAAACTCGCATTTGTTTCTCGCTCGGCAAGAGTGAGTAGAGAGGGACGACGTGCATTGGGACTAGGTCCGTATTCCTTTAGCTTGTCGAATATCAATATATCGAAAAAGTTACCGTCACACTCCTCGATATCGATGCCAAGTTCAGCGTTGACACTATCTTCGTCGTCACTATCGAGGCCTTCAGGATCTTCCTCCGCGAGGTCTCCATCAACATCAAGTGCTAACTCCTGCTCGTGAACGCCAAACTCGATATCTTCGGCTTCAATGTCGGCTGTGGGTTCCTTTTGAGATAAAATCATTAGACCACTGCTTAAAATTCCTCACCGTGAGGCAGAGCAATAGGACAAGAAACTTCACTGGCAACGGATTCTGCGAAAATAGAAGAAGCTTGGACAACTTGTCTTCTCCTCTTTCTTGCCTCCAGGGCTTTTCTGCCATATCGTGCCTCGAGCTTTTTACAGACGCCCTGAATTTCATTTTGCCCTGTCAAGAATATGAGGATACCTCCTGGTGGCAAACGAGCATGAATCTTGGCTGCTTTCTTGACCGCTTCGCACACATAGTCAGTAGATGTCCGCCGGTTGAAAGTGTATTGTTACAGGGTGTTGACGAGCATCAACATTGATAACCGGAGGTGGCGACGAAAAGAGCGTCTGATTTTCTGCGAAGTCGCCGACGCGTAGGGTCGCCGACATGATGATAAGCCGTAGGGGTCTCGTACCCTCTGTGCCCTCCTTCCACATTTGTTCGCGTAGCTTGATTACCCGACTAAGAACGCCGATCAAGATGTCGGTGTTCATACTACGTTCATGCGCTTCGTCGATGATAATCACGGAATATTTTGAAAGCAAGAAATCGGTAGCAAGTTCACGCAAAAGTACACCATCGGTCATGAACTTGATCGTAGTTGAAGGAGACACAGTTGCATCATATCGGATTTGGTACGACACGCGGGAGGAGGTCAAGGACAATTCACGAGCCACTCGAGATGCCATTGACATTGCCGCAACTCGCCTTGGCTGCGTAACGCCTATCATGCCCGGGTTTTCTGCGTGCATCAATGAGCTATCATGAGATATACCCGTACAGATAAACTTACCTCCAGTAGGATCACCAAACCCGGCTTCGTAGAGAAATTGTGGGACCTGAGTAGTCTTTCCGCTACCAGTTTCACCGCAAATGATTACCACCGGATTGAACATTATGGTTTCCATGATGGGCTGTTCTTCTGCAATGATAGGCAACTGCATCCTGGACTCCTGGATATCAAGGGGACGAGTGACGGACACAGACTTGATGCTTCTGGAAGAGGATTCAGAGAAAGTTTCTTGGGTTTTCGTCGTGCACTCTGCAAAAGATGTAGAAGGAAGCTTCAGGTCTTCACCCAGGAGGCCGCGCATTGAATTTGGTTGCGACGATATCGATTTTGGTTGATTAGATGGAGGTGCAGCTGGATGTTCGGTTTCGAGCGACGGTGGGGTCCCTTCAGTAATATCATGGCCTTTCGCTGTGTTAAGCTGTCTTACGGCCCAGTCCTTGAATCCAAGGCGTTTCTTGGCAGGTAGAGGGCGTTCTTCTTCCTCGTCTGAACCTACGGCCAAGACTTCCCCTTCTCGATTTTCGTTGTGTTGTTTTTCATCCGTATCATAGGCCGAATCAGAGCTGTCGAACGATGTGTCTGATTGCTGTTCTGAAACCCCTGTCGGTGGTACCCTTCTTTTCCAGCTCGGGAAGGAGGCCTTCTGAGAGAAAATGTCAGTTCGAAAGTCCCTCAGTCAGGGTGTACATACCATTCGACTCTTTGCATTCTTTTTGTTCACAACTAGTGGTGCCACGACAGAGCCATCAGGATTCCGTTTAAGTGCGCCACCAACGGTGAAAGCGGATAGAGCTGACTGGGAGACTGTCGAAGCCGTGGAAGGATCCGCGAAGAACTCCGTCACTGGGCCCTCATGTCCATCATGTTGTTCCGGTGTCTTATCAATTTTCTCAACAAAGTCAACTCCATCCATCGCATCGGATTCGTTTTCACCGTCTCCGTGTTCATGAACAGCGAAATCGTTATGGCGCCGTCGACGTTTATTGGGCTGGCCCTCCATAGCGCGACGCACTTCCTTGTCTTCTAGCTTCTCTTGGCGTTCCCGAGCTGTAGAGGTAGCTCCTGTACCAAGAGTAGATGATGATTGAAGATCAAGACTTGAAGTTTGAGCTTGCGTCTGACTACAAACCTCTGTGGAGATGCAATGATAAAATGCAGGAACTTGACATACGCTAGCTTCTCAAAAATCACAAGTCTCTCTTCTTTTCTTAGCTTTTTCTCCTACAAGAACCGTCGTACAAGTCTTCTGAAAGGTGAGGAGATTCACGCACAACATACTTTTCCAGTCTCTTCCGCTTCTGTCTCGATACTTTGGATTCTGACTCTGCTGCAAGCTTCGACCCATATCAGCGTCTCCCAGCTTTCAAGAATGTTACGGACAGACCTCTCTTACGAGCCTTTCTTTTCTGTCGCGCTCTTTATCTTCGAGTGACTTGTATTCAAGGATTGCGGCGTTGGGATCGGGTGCATCGGTTGTAGGGACGACACCGGATCTTTTATGATGTGATTTCCCCTTCTTCCTCGTGCCTGCTGTAGATCGGCGCGCCTTGGGGTTGTGTCGCTCATGCTTAAGGTCCATATGAAATGTCAGGCCGTCTTGGACCTTGGTGAAAGTTGTAGTATATACTTTTCAATGATAAAAAATGATTATGTAATCAGGGGCAGGCATGTTACTACATATCGAAGTCAAATCGAAATCCTACACACTGACTCAAGTACTCAAATACTCATGAGCAATCATTTTGCACCGCAAATTGATTTCACTACGAAAAAGAGAAACCTTGCTAGCAAGGTATAAATGGCGTACACCAGCGCACATGGTAGCTAGCAGAAGATAGAAATACAATGCACTCAAGCCCGGAAATGTAATGTTACATCTAAATGGTATAATTAAGTTACTTCACTGGAATCACATCAACCGAAAATTTGTCGAGAATCGCGAGTGCAAAACATGAGACTAAGGGGAGGCAATAACGTGGACATTAAAGTTATATGTCGTTGGGTTAGCCTCAAAAGTGAAGTTTGTTGATTGCAGATCAATGACGGTCTGCCCTCCTCGGGTTAGTGTACCACTCATGGTCCCGCCAGGTTGGATGGGTACAGCTAACTTCGAGACGCCAGCTGGGACGTTGAAAGTTTGTGATTGACTAGACGAGGTCGAGAGTACGACTGTGGCAGGGGAGGTCGCCAGGACGACGGCCCAGACATTGTCTGAAGTCTAAATTCATCGTAGTTGAGATAAGTACCCTGATATCAACGAAGTACATACAATCTGGTAATTGGTTGGTCTTCCAACTGGATCATCTGACGCAGAAGCCGAGGCAGGATGTGGACGCGACCACATTACGAGCTGGTCTTTGGCCAGAGTGGGGTATGTTCCTGTCTTGAAGGCTGCAGCGTAATAGGACGTTAGATTGAGCCAGCCTAGAGGACCTAAATTAGCATCGGATCATCTGCATAGACTAGTGAATGCGCACCAGTGTGATCATTGCCATCGACCCATGCTTGACTCATGGGTTGGTCTCCCTCTATCGGACCAATATAATGTGACTCTCCAAAATCATTCCAAGAAATGACTTGTACGAGATCTACCTGGTCGCGGATATTAATCAACGACTCCCACCGATTAGCGTACAAGTGATCATCGCTGAGGTAAATCCACTACAAGAGCTTGTGAGTGTCCGCAACATGTACGACGGAAGGGCGACCCACATTTTTGTTGTAAGTTGACGGGCCATAATGGGTGAAAAACCATGGAGACACAGCTGCCATGTACGTTTGACCGCCACCCATTGCAGCCAAACTCGAGATGTATGTCTCGTCCGGAGTTGTTGACCCGACGAGATTAGACAATAGAGAGCTGACGGCGGAGGATAGACCACTAGCGATGTCTCCAAGTAGACCAGGTATGGACGATGCAAATGAAGTCGTGACTTGAATTGGCCACCCGGAATTCCACTGAGAACAATTAAATTTATGCAGAATGCGATACTGGAAGAACTTACGTTGAACATGCCATTGATCACCCCACTGTAGGTATTAAACTGTGATGGATCGACGAAAAATGATGGCACAAAATGAACTGCGGAAGATCCTGTCAATTGTTGTATGAATTGAGTGGACCATCCAGAAACCACGGATTTCTGTCCAAAAGTGCAAGTTTCGCCAGAGAAACTCGAGGCCATAACGCGGCCGTTGTAAAGCAGCTGATTGGGGTGCGTGGCATAGGTGGTTATATAAGTGCGAAGAGTTGCAGCATCGGAAGCTGTGGTACAAGGTAAAGAACTGTACGAATGAGGATTCGCTGATGAAGATGAAAGAAATAATCAACTTACGACATATCAAAGGACATGAAAAGCTTGAACCCAGTTCCAGACTGGAGAGCTGCTTGGTAACTATGAATTTGCTAAATCAGGGGTCTATTGCTCAGTTAAGACACAGGGACTTACGCGTTGGCCACCTGCGAAGGCTGCCAGGTATCCACTCCTACATTCAAAGCAAAGCCGTCGATTCCACTGGAATGTGCAAGAAAAATGTCCGCAAGCCAATTATCCACGGTATAGGGGTATGAATTCCCAACCATGAAGTGTGCAATGACATATTTCGATGATACAGAAGGAGAACTTGTAGCGGTGGGTGCCTGTGAAGAAGTCGTCGTAGTTGCTGAAAAAGAAGAAGTAGGTGTCATGCTGGAGGATAGTCCAGCAGACGAATTGAGGGCAAGTAGTACAGGCTGTACCCTGACAGCAGAATTGTGGTTCGAATGGGTTATGTGTCGGACAATCCTCAAGGGAGAAGCTAGGGAAAGAGCGACAAAAGAAAAAACAATGAGTGGAAAGTGCACGAGCATTGTGGCTGGTGACACCAGAAGATCAAACGAGTGTTAGGAAGCGACTGGAAGGTTAATAATGAGCTTGCGGCACGGCCGCCACGATGTTGGAACGAGAGAGAAAAGGATGTGGGTTTGGACTCGTTCTTATTATATAAATGATCATCGTTTCGGCGCTTGATAAGTACTAGCCAATGGACACAGAATGTCAAAAAACAAGCTCACTCAGAACAATGATATCGCCAAGGCGGTCCGCCGAGCTTATTGTTCCATGTGACTCATCACGTGACCTCCACAATTCGATACCTTCAATTTGAATTTGGCTCAACGATTCGACTTTTACTCGAGCAAATTAGCAAAAGCGATAGCTCATTCAAATCCTAACGATGGCAGGGTTAGGCCAGGTCAAGTGAATTCAACCTATGTGCTTTATCGTTGAATTCTTCATCAGGCACGGTGATTAGCGACGTTATAGTGGCCGTACGTGAGACCCGCGTGAGTTGGCCGTTCTCGGAGTTCTCCATTGTAGCGTACGGATATTGATGTGCCTGGGAACAAGCAAAATCAATGCCTCAACCAATCACATTACTTGTCGTACATACAAGGGTCATGGTTCCTAACGGGCGACTAGCCTGGCCTAGGTGAAAGTGCAATCACCACTTCGGCCTGCGCAACGCGTTCTTTTGGTGTAAGGTATTCTTTCCTCTCGCACCCCTCACGGCCTGTAGGTCCTCAAACTTCCTCTTCGCATATCGTCGTGCTTCCGCATCATCGACTAACTCGTCGACCAAAGTTCTCTTGCGATGAGCGCGAGGAAGGTTGTCCGTACTTGCTGTGCCAAATGGCGTGTTTGTAGTCACAATGGTGCCAATCTAAATAAAAATAATAAGCCTCTGCGATACGATGGAGCATGTTAGAAACGTACGGCAAAATGTTTCGGGAGTCCTTTGATACCTTTCCCATCGCCATCGTCTTTACGGTAGAAGCGCTTTGGATCAAGTTGATTGCGCAGGCGAAGAGCTTCGACTTCACGATGTAATCGAGGCAGATCGGCTTCAGCGGGTGCCGGAAGGTCAAACCAGCTTGAACCAGCAGTTTGGTTTCTCATCTGAAATAATACACGTCCTTGAGTCCTTCAGTTGATAGGATCATGGTAAAACTCACAGCTTTTCGCTGTTTTTTAGTTGCTATTTTGCCAGTGAGCATTGGTTTTGGAGGGGGTGCAGGAGCAACGGTTCCAGAGGTGGCTGCTTCTGCGCGTTGTATGTCTGGGTCTCGTACAGTCGCAGGGGCGTCACGTCGATCTTTCACAAATTCAAAATATGCAGGCGGAAGTTCCCCGGGATCCAATGGCGGCAATGGCCTGTAACAAGACTTAGCAAAATGATGAAGTATGTCTTTCATGACATGCAGTACCTCTCCGATTCGTCACCATCCAATTTGATAATATCTTCTCCAGCACCAAACGCATTTTCTCGAAGTGCCTTTTTCATGTTAGCTGACTCTCGAGCATTTGATTTTGCTTTATCCAAAAGAGACTGCAGGTACTCTTCAGTGATTTCTTCATCGTCCGAGTCCGAATCCGAGTCGCTATCGGAGGATGAATTTGAGCTAGAGCCCGACGAAGAGCTTTCTGACGCCAGGTCGTCGAAAGAGATGAAGTCATCTTGAGTAGCTTTCTGTTTCCCTTTCCCTTTTGCTGCTATTGTGTTTCCTGGAACTGCTGCAGGCGAGCTCGACATAACAGTGTAATGTAGAATTTTATATTTGCAAACTAGCTAATAGTCGGCCATAGGACATAGTACGTTGCTTACATAATGCCACCCATTACCCGACGGTGATCCGCTGGTAAGACAGTTCCAGCGGTAATGGAAGACTACACAGCTTGTCACGCTTATATTGCGCAGAAATTTACGTTCGGCGAAAAAAAAAGAACTCACCTAAAACGAAGCACTCCGCAGTCCGGATGTACTGAAGGGTGTAAAAACTGATGATCCGTGGGGATCTACCGGCGTTGATAACTCATTATAAAGCGGTGTCAGCGTGAAGGGTAAACTCGAAACTGACGAGCCAGTAAGACATGTGGCGGACAAAGATCGATCTGAGAATGCTCATATGTCAGACAGCCTCCAGGGGCTAGGCTGGGAAATAGCAATCGCACATTACAATCGCCGGTGAAGTGACGAGCCAGCGTATGTCAAATTGGAGAGGGATAACGCGCGGACTAAACACTGCCGCTGGCACGATGGAAATTGAAATTTGAAAGCCAAATGTGTATCGCGCCGTTGGCACTGAGGGAAAGAAAAGAGATCAAAGTCAACAGTGACGGCACTTAGCCTGCTCTGAAATAGCATCATGTCAAACATATTTTTTGTGATATCGATCGAACGGGCGAAGAACCGAGCTTACGCGTGCATCGGATTGGGAGTAAATATTTTGCATGGTGTTTTAGTTGGGCGCAGATCTACCGTGATCTAGAAATTCCGGGACTCAATCTAGTGAACCTCAAGGTCTTCAAGGGTGGTACGCACGAGCCGAGATATCTGCGGTTGGACAATTCAAAGCGGTGAAACATTGAAATAGCACTTACCACGCGGTCTAGGCGCAGACACACTATTGTAAGAGGTGACCACTACAGATCCTTCGAGCTTGAGGCACGGATGACCGACGCGAGCAGTGTCGATAATTGCGGGCAGTCATGACATCGCACAATCATCGCACTTGAGAGTCAAGAAAGGCTCCTACATGAACTGTAGAACAAAAGGGCTTGACTGCCAGGAGGAAATTGGGATCGCAGAGGTTATGTTGTGAACTCGGGAACACGGAGTTCAGTCAGATTGTAAGATGAAGCTGAACGTTCGACATGCTAGGGATTTTTGACTGCTTCGTTACACAAATATGATCTGCCGAGGCGCGATATCTGTATACTTGAAAGAAATAAAATGACCATTGTCACTTAGATCCTCCATGACCGGGTATTATTTCAAGACTGCATCATGATTCATTTGGAACGTACAACTACTATACCATTTTTGTCGCATCCAAGGACGTGCATCCACACGTTTGCAACACCGTCTTCTTCGCATCCGACTTGCATTCCATTGTCCTTCAAGATAATATACTCTCTTGCTGGGGTCTGGATGACGGCAAGAGCCGGGTGCAATGGTACACCTTTTGGTGCGGTGAAGTGAACGCTCTCAACATGATGGTGGCTATGAAGGAGTCTTGAGAGCACTGAGCCAAAGTACGAAAGTGCTGCTTACGCTGGAAGGTAAAAGTTTAACTTCGGTGCTCTGCCTCTGATAGCTACCAGGGTCCCTTGAGACGGCAGACCTGCAAATTCTTGCGCCATCTGGCTAGATGACATCCACTGGCCACTGATGCTGTTCGCCAACTGTCAATATGTTCCGAAATGAGCCATCTAATTCAGTAGATCACCTATTGGCAACCACACACGCCAGGACATATCGCTCAGCGACCACCTTTTTCGATAAACCGACATCGCCTTCACTAGAGATGCGGCTGTAGCCAGTGCCTGCTTAATCCTCGGTCGTATTCCTCGTAATTCGCCCACCGAAGGTTTTCTGAGATTAAGCTACGTGGCCCAGCAGAAACACCAGTATGACACGATATGTATCTTGACCAGTCGGCTCGCAAACCAGAGGAGTAGACTTCAAGATGGGGAGCGTTGAGTGCCCGGCCGATGACTTCGCAAGTGGATTCCAGTACGTAGAACTCGGATAACGAATTTCCGTCTCGAATCGTGATGACCCAGATCTCACCTTTTACAACTTCCTGGGCATCTTCCACAGTATGTTTAGCCATGCCGATGGATCTCGCTCATTCGTTCCGACAGAGAGCGTGAACCAAAGTCTTGTGAGGATAAATCTAAACCTAATGCTTAACTGTGCTTTGCCCTCGATCAAAAAAATCATACCTCAGCGCTACGACTACCTGCTTCTCGTCATCTGCACTCGCCCAGAGACGTGCAGATAGAGGGCCTATTCCAAGCGAAGAATGGTACTTTCCGACCCAAGAATTTTGGAACGCATGTTTCCAGAAAGCGACTTCGTTCTGACGCTGACGCAAGTAGGGCCACATATTCGTCGTGTTTTGTGGATGGTGCTTCACTATTTGGTTTAGACGGCGACCACGATACTTCTGAGTGAGTATATGCGCGGCAGAAAGGTATACTATATGGGAATGTCGTTAGAGACATGTCAAACCTCCGGATTGTATCTTACCTGCATATCGAAATGTCCGAGAAACCAGAGTGCAAGTCTGGCGATCTTGATCAGTGAGTCTAGCGAGGATTACTGCCCAGCTTTGAACCCGTTTTCTGTCGGATAGCTTAGGCGGGAGTGTAATATTCATTAAGGATGTTATCGAAATGGGGGCGGCATCAAGGCTAAAAGTATCTGAGAATGTAGAGGTAATTTCGTCGGCTTGGTGGTCGTTGTAGGAGACTCGCCGGGAGGTGACTGATATACCAGCAACAATTGGAGTTGTTGTGAAAACGAGAGGTTTGAATCGACCTTGAAGTTTTGTTGTAGACCCTTTCTGGACGAGGTTGATATTTCGAGGCTGAGCGATGATAGGTAATGCATTTGATGAAGCGCTAGCGTTAGAGCCATGTGGAAGATGACCAACCGCCGGCGGGGATTCAGTGACAAAAGTCAGACCAGCACGTGCATCGAGGGGTCCAGTAGCCGTGGGTGACTCCGTGGAATTTGAAGAGGAGGTAACATCACAGATAGATGCAGCATTCACAGGAGAGGGCTTTTGTCTTTTTGCGGACCCAAACATAGCAGAGACACGGGGCCGTTTCGCGCTCCGGCTCTCGTTGGGAGCGTCAGGGCTTAATGCAGCGACAGCCGTTGGTGATGCATGATGATCGGCAGCTGAGTGATCCACCGGACAGGACACCGGCAGTGTTTTGCATAGGGCAGATTGTTCTGCGGATGTAGCGGTAAGGTCCTTGTCTGCTGTCTGTGTATTCCGTGTATGATTGAGAGCAGTAACTCCAGTGGAACGTGAAGGAGCTAGGCCGACTGAGTTGCCTGTGTGTTCTGGTACTGTTGTTTTCGATACTGGTTGGATCGAAATCACAGGCTGAGGCTGAGGGCCACCACGGGCAGCATTATTATTGGTTAATTTCTGGACCAGAGCAGCTTTCCCGAGTTTCGAATACCCGACAATGCGGCGTTCTTTGCATAATGCTTTGAGCTGAGGGACCGTGAGCTTCCCGAGGTCGCCTGCTGTCGTATTAGACATGGTAAAGTCGCCGTGCATTTCGAATCCAGGCGGTTGGCACTAGCAGCTGAGCGCCGAGTGGCCAGTGCAGATCAGGCAATGAGTTACTAGTCAGGCACCGTGTAGGATGAACACATGAATGAAATGATCAAGAACGGAGTGACGTCTAGTGACCTGTGACCTGTTACCATTCCGAAATTGATCGGCTCCCGACAGGGTGGGAAACACGAGTCCCTGAACGCATCAATGCGTTCAGCCTGGAGTGTGTTGGGGCTTTGTTAACATTCCGAAGTAGATTGGCTCAACAGGGTTGAACCTCGACGTTTGAACGCCGATCAATCACATCAGTGGCAAAAACCTCAAAACCGCTCAGTCACCCCGGTCTTGATGTGCTGTTCCGAACAATCAACGCGGCGAGTGGCCATCAGAGAATTCGTGAGTCTACCCAGAGTGCTTTACGTTGATTGCGGTGGTTTTCCAACGTTGTACATGGCTTCATATGACTTTATATTCCAATATAAAGAAAACCTTTCCTATATATGACAATATCTTCGATTCATGTGTCCTCTGGTTCGGATGACATAGCTAGGCTGCAGAAAAGAGCAGGAGAAAAAAAGGCAGAAGATATAAAAAGATTCGTACCTTTCTCCTACACAGTTCGCGGGTCCAACCTTTACTAAATAACGTCAGTCGAATGATACGCCCTGCCCTTTTCAACTACTCTGGCTCCCAAAGCTCCCAAAAACAAGGTGCGTGCGTTACCTCACTTACAGCAGAGGTCAAGACCTCCAGCACCGCTCGGTAAGGTATCTTCTACTCGTGTGTAAGGTTCGACAGCACCTTGCTATCACGCATCTACTACTGCCCACCACGCCCGATCTGCAGTCTCCCGCCGCCCACCACCACACCTAACCTTCAACCTGCGCCCTCCCGCGTCACGCACTAGGCTCTCATAAAACCTGGTGCTGCCCCCAACCCTCGAAATCTCACGCTGATTCCAACCCTTGCGCGTGAGCTCCTGAGGCCTTCTCGCTACTTCCTGCTTTCGCCCAGTCACTGATGAAGAAAATGACGGAGTGCTCATTTAGCCTTATAAATAGTATTGCGGAGCGTGATTTAGAGAAGACAAGTAAAATTGATCACCCTAACCAAGGAAAACAACGCACAAGATAAAATCATTTCCAAGCACAGAAATGAAGGAGATATATCTGTGTTTTTTTAAAGCCCGTCCAACTTCAACGAAGGACGGACATATCTAAGTCATCGTTGCTACTCGCGAGTGCGAGATGATGGTGGCTGATAGGGGTGGTACCGCCGCAGGCTCGTGTCGCTGGCATTGGCGGGCGCCAGAAATTTGTCTTATCTGTGGTCAAGAGGTTTTGACGTCGCTGTTCTTACACCCGGGTAAGTCAGAGGCTGACGAGGTTTTCGAGGTCTTTTCATTACGTTCTTACGTTACGCTGCACGTATGTAACTTAGTCAAGACTGTCGTTCGCTTAACTGTTACGCCAAAAGGCAGTGATACTGAAGATTGTGTGTCAGTATCGCGGACAGTATTCATGTAGATTATGGGAAATAGGCTAGTAAGCCAGCGTGCTTACAGCGTACCTTGTTTTCGGGAGCTTTTGGGAGCCGAAGTATTTAGGAAGGGTACTTAGCAGGGTTCATCACTTTTCTGACAGATAGAGTCGATCTATTCGGAATGCTAAATGACTCTGCTAAAACATAAGGAGGCATCACTGTCCCTGTGGCGAGCACTAGCGACAGGCCCAGAGATTCGGCTCATCACAAAGCATCTAAATCAGTGCCTGTGGAAATAAGGTAAGGATGCGAAAGTATACGAGGGATCTGTGAAGTACAGGAGCGGTAGCATCGTACGGCGCTGGACGACATGTTAGAAGGAACGATTTCGACTATCTTCCTTCGTTTATAGAGGGCTGTCTAAGGCCTGGAGACGGAACCTGAGCAGATATATCACACCGCACGGTAAGATTATGTCAGCAGATATCGCTGGTGTGAGTGGTCCTAAATAGGCAAAGTGTGAGTTACAATAATCTGTACACAGGGCGGGGTACATTGATTAAAGTTTATTGAGGGGGTTGTTGAATTAATATTTTAAACGGTAACGAAATGGCACCTGGTATCGCGGCACACTTAATTCCTAATGCGTGAATTATATTATATCTTGCAATTGCAACGGGAAGTCATCGATGCGTCCACTAGTTGGAATGGCAATTCTTACATTCTCTGCATCTTGATTCTCCAGATCTCAGACTCCGGGAAACTCAAACGCAATGGTGCTCTCTGCACAGCCCAGCGATTGCACATGTATAGTACTACCGAGGGCACGTTCTGTCCAAACAAAGGCAAGGAGGCAATTATAAGGAGCGTGTGAACTGATGCAGAAAATACATCGTCAAAACTATTGCAAGCCAAATTGTACAGAGTTTCCAAGTACCCTCTTTGGCCACCGGAACGTTCTTCAACCAAACTGTGTCTCGCCTGTGCAAGCTAGCGATCAAAATTCCCATAAAACCAAGGTTTGCAAAGCGCGATATCTTGGGACAAAGATGATGGGCCTCCGAGGACATCTAGGCGACGCCTAACGATATGCTCGTACCAGGATGCAAGCGCAATAGTTTCTTGGTAGTGATGGAGCATCCGAGCACCGGTTTCAACTGGATCTTTCCGCAGAGCCAAGTACTGGGAACATGTGAGTTTTTCCTTTTCATCAGAATGCCAGTGTCACACAACGGATTCTTACGTTCCTGCACGATAACTGACCAAAAATTTCATTGCCATCGACGCCATGATTGTGGGTAAATAACAATGAAATCCTGAAACCCTTTGGATCGGAGTGAACATTATTACTGTGGATCAAAGCTTGGCATCATCGGGCACCGCGAGCAGGGGCAAGTGTGGTGGTACCATCTCTTCTACGGCGACTTCAACCTACGTGCAGGCAAGCGTTCGAGGTAGAGTGCATGCACCCTCGCCAAAAAGCAATTTCACACCCGCAAGCGACGAGGTTGCTCTGTAGGGTGCATTCACTTGATCGCAACTTGTAGGTTGTAAATCGAATAACGTTCAAGTGTGGTTCAAGGGAAGTGATAGTTACCCGCAAGATGCATTCTGATGCAAGTCCAAATCTGCGATGGGTACAGTAAATTCCATTTCTCACTCGATTGGTGCTCGCCTGTGGGACGAAGTGATTGAGTTTCAAAGAAATGTCTTCTTTCTATTTGGCTTGCCTACAGTACAGCTGGCAGTTTAGGATCACCATCGTACATGATCAGTTTGCAGCGTTGAGCTGGGCAAACCTTGTCGTACTATTGCAACAAATAACGAGTGTCGAATTTTCATTGGCTGGAACATATTCACTCCGTTGTAAGTTATGTAATATCTCCACTCCGAGCGCACATGGCCTGAGGCTGGCCTTACTTCATTTACATGAGTAAGTTTACCAATCACATGCACACTCGAGCCTCGTAATTCGTGAATCCAAGCGCGCCGCGGCTTTCAAGTCTTTCGTACTGGTTCTTCAACTGGGCACTCAATTTCCATTCTCTCCGGGTCACAGTACTAGTGCCGATGGTCCCCTCCATTGCTACGCGGCCACACTCTGACCGTTGAGAGGCGATCTTTGAATTCCACACGCGCATGTGTGTTTTTGATTCCGGATTGAAGTGCTTGATCGGCCTCCCACAATGGGTACGGCTGCCAGGCCTCTCGAAGGAACACCAACCAATTTGTCGATGGTTTCCTATGAAAAGCCAGTAGTAAGTACCGATCGTAGTGGGCACTACTCATCATCGCAGGTTTGATCACAAGTCGCCGTTCCCTGCTGTCACGGTATCGCAGGCGTCTGTTACATGTTCCCAACATTACATTACTATCATGATAGGGCCCTGAGGTTACATCCCATGCTCTTCAATGTGATTGGTTACTGATATAGCCATCTCTGCCACTCTCCGTGTGGTTGACTTATCTGCCAGTGCTTGGCTCAGCCACACATCATATGAGACAATCCTTGGGGTTGGTTGACGGCAATAGGTATCAATGCGTCTCATCTCGGCACAACCTGTGGTTTGTCGTGCACTCTTCTTGCGTTACCCTAACTTCGGATACAGAGGTGTCCCATTTTGTCATCCTCTCCCTTTATTGACGATTCGATCGTGCTCGTTTAGCGCTATATTTGCAACAGTAGCCGCGCGCTTGTATTTCGCACTTCTCGGGACATGTTCTGAAGAGATGATTGTTGCATCACGAACACCGCGGTGATTTTATTCGGTTCTTTGCGACTCAGGGTGACCAACATTCTTAGCTTATGTCAGTTTTACTAGTCCTCCGGTAAGGACGCGCATAAAAACTCTCGCATTGCCTATATCCGAGTAGTGTATGTGTACTCAAAATACATCTTGACCCAATAGTGCGCGGCTATTTTCGTTCCTGCAGACTCTTTCTGTTTGCTAAAAAATATTTTGCGCATTTCACATGCCTCAGAAATGATATGGTCAAGATCCCTGACAAACTTGGACTACTAGGGTCATGAGTAGAACGGCCAGGATGTTGAACGGTTGTGCTTCTTTCATTCGCCCTTTCGTTGGGTATATGCCAAGGGTATATAAGTCCGATAAATACGCAATATAGTACGACTAAAAGCTACAAGGAATGCGAAACCGCAAAACTGATTAAGGTATATACACTACAGATGACTATTCAGGGATTCCTCGACTAAATTACTCCCACTCTTTATAGTACGGGACCTGATCAATGTTCGAGTGAATAAGCGACCACTGCGCGGAGAAGGAGGTCTGTCGAAATTGCGTAGGGGTTGGCTGAACCAAATTCCAGTCGCCCCCACCGCCGACGACATGGTGAATCTCTGCCTGAGGATGGCCTTGATACTCTACCATCGAGCTTGTCGCCGATGTGTCTGATATTGGGCTACTGTTTCTCATCCATGGTGTAATAGCGTTTGTCCATGTCTCGTTGTTGGGGATTACAAGAGGTTCTAGGAATGTCCATGAGAACTCGTCGCCGACGGCCCGAAAATGCGTACCATAAGACGTGTGAGACCCCTCGTCAACCTCGTAGGGCGATGCTGACGAAAATTCCAAGGGTGGGAGTGGCTCATGCCTGGAAGTCGCCTCATGTTCGCTCGACAACTGCCGCAACAGTTCTGCAGCTGTGAAGGGGGATAAGTGATCATGCAAGGGAAACATATATCAGAACAAGTATACCTTTCTTCAGGGTTTCGCGCCTGGTCTGGGGAGTTTCCCCTGTCACCTGAGTGAATCACTACGCGGAGTTCCTGGAACCCGTCCCCCTCTTTGACTCGATACTGCCTCTGCGATGCAATTTTGCTTTGCTTCGCGGGACGCTGGTAGCTTTGCGCACCGCGGTAGAGCTGCATATTTGCAATCGCGCAATAGTGAGTCTACATGTGGGGCTAGAAGCCTGTTTTTATAACGTCCTCTGCCCCGCCACGCATATTTCGTAAACTTTGTTTTTTTTGGACTACCAGGCCTTACCCATTCAACGTTGACGCCCGAAGGAACCTCGGTCGGGTCAACCTTACAGAGTGGTTCCCGATCTAGATATTTTCTTTATTCAGGTGGCCTATTGATTTTGCTGCGTTCTGTGAGTTGCTCATGGAACTAAGTCCTTTCTTGACCTCGCTTACGATGTCTCCACACGGTCAATCCACCCCGGCGAGTGCAAGGTTTCATTAGATCTCTGAGATGATTTAGATACTTGATGACAGGTCTATCAGTTACTTACGAAATGTGATATTGTACGTCGAAAAATGAAATCGGAGGGCATCAATGCCACGTTGCTCCGAAGGTTTAAAGTTCGTACGTTCGCGTTCGGGTGCGGCCCTCTTGCAATCCACCTGTAGCAATGTATCCGGTGAATGCCGAGACATGATGATGTCATGAGCAGGAAGTTTTCCATTGGTTCCGACATAATCGCTCCTTTATTTTACTACAGCGAACAGCATTCATAGAGTCAGCGACTCTGAAGTTACCGTGACTGGAGATATCAGTATAATGTCATTAATGAGATCAGATGATCGTCACGAAAAGGTTAGTCATGGGACACAACAGATCGCTGCAATGCGTACCACTTATGGCTGTACAGATGCGGCTGTCAGACCAGTTATGGTACGTGCAGATTAAATAAATATGCACTTGACGTTAGCGCTGACTACTTAGATCTCGGTAATGGACCCGGATAACTATTTCAAATTCAAACTCCGACTATCATGTATTGTTCCGCGATCATCGATTCTTTGGTGATGGCATTGAGACATACAAGGACCGTGCTTGCTCCAAATGCCCTCTAGTAATTCGAACATAGGCACATAGACTGTCATAAATGCTATGATCATGTAATTCAACACGTAAGATATTTGATAACTGCCAATCCCAACCACATGGACTTACAGCTGCATCGAAAAGCAGAACAAAGCTTCGAGCGAAAGCAATGCCTGTTTTTTGCTGAAATAGGCAGCCATCATCAAGCAGCCTGATTAGAGAAGGATGACTTTCACACAATCATCCGGCGGCCACCGACGAGCATTGAGCATGTGAATGGGATTCGGGGGCGAGACTTTCGGAACACTAATTGGTTGTGTCCCAGGAAGCCAAGTGTGCTCTTGTACTCTTGCACATAAAATCCCGCGATAGTGAGTAAGGACCAATTTAGTTATCACGAGTAGCGGCCAAAAAATATTATTCGTCCTGCTATGACGTCAGTGTATTGACAATCGGCCAACAGTGCATCAACCTGCATGATGCGGCTCCGGCAAAAAGGCTGTGCCGTGACCTAGTAGTGGCGATTGCCGTGAACTCGAATGCTTGGCCCAGTAGGAGCACTCTTGACTTTGTAAAAATCATTTAGATGCTCAGCACAACGACGCAAAAAATGGACATTAGGCAGCTCCACTAGTGTGCTGTCATTTTTTTTTGATCTTCGGTTATTCCCAGCGGACAATGAGTTGGGGCCAAACCCTACGGTGGACACTGCCTACAATATCCAGGTACGCATTCTGTATGTATCTTTGTTTGTGATGTGATGTCTATGCTGTATAGCGGTCCCGGCTTGCGCGAGGACATTTAGGCCTTCTTCAGATGATAAATGGGTGTCTCTATACTCCTTCTATTCCTTCTCTCTCTCCTCCGGGGGATGTGCTGTCGTGGTCGTTCAAATCGCCGAAACCCCAGTCCCGATGTACAGGGGGCGGGCGCACGCTTGATTTATCCAAGCCGAACATTGATACTTGCAGGAATCAGCCGGTTACAGAGTCCCTGATAGTCTTCGAAATCGGAGACAGTCAGGAATGAATCTCAGATTCACCGATAGCAAGCTCCGCCCCATTCCAACAGCAACGAGAAAGTCAGAATACACCCCTCTTCTTAGATGTAGGACATAGTTCTTCGAACGTGGTGGGAGTAGAAACCAAGGCGATTGCCAACATTGGAAAGAGCAACTACAAGATTGATGGTATGAATGCGTAAAGCATGTTGCTGTTGGGGATGCCTGCTATGCTGCGAATTTTATTTTGCAATCCAGAAGCAATCACCTCCTTCCTCGACATAATTTGTGATATTTGTGATAGCGTTAAGCGGCTGATACTGATACTGATATCTGTTCCCCTATGTTCAATGACTTCCTTTGGAGCAAAGTGCAGCCTGGTGCGATAGGTGAATTTCTAGGAGAACCGGATTGGCCTGGAGAGTCCTTTAATGAAGGTTTAGCCAGTGACAATCCGCGATTTGAATATTAATATGAAATGGTTTATTTTCGTACAAGATCCCGATCGCAGACAGCAGTTTTAGAATTTCAAAATTCATGGACTATTTCGGAAGTTGGTGATAAAGTCAATTTGCATTTTTTACGAGGAATATACTGCAGTATTATAATTAGACATCCTGAGGCAGCTGCTTTAAAATGTCAGGTCCAGTAGATAATCCAACTGTATTTACAGTTTTCCAGACATACGGAAGATACATTTTGGTGGGTATTCTAATATGTTGAGATCGTAGCTAGTCAGTCCGTCATGTATGTCTGGTCGGTCGTGGTGCGGTAATATAGAACGTTGTACAGGCGGTCATCAGTAGAAGATTGGTAGAAGATATAAAGAGCCAGCTTCGCAAAAGAAAAGAAGAAAAAAAATAGGGGAAATAGATCAACGACTGCGTATAATGACAATACCTTGACATAAGAGGCCTTCGAAAGATAGCAGGCCGAGGGTCCAGAGTTTGTCGAATCGTTGTGCCACATCTTCTGATCGCACAAGTGCAACTGTGCCAGCCGAAAAGGCAAGATAAGTCGTCATGTAGGTTTATAATAGATGGTCGTGAGATACTGTAGCTTCATGGTCAGCAATCGTGATGGATGCTATGATACGAAAATGTAAACCTTCGTGCGATATCGTGTGGTATTACCCACGGCCAAGACACCATTGCGAATTGCACTGGTGCTCAAGTGGTGCAAGACAACATGAGATGGAACAGGGAGAACGCTAGCGTCATCGCTGAGCCCAGGACCATCAAGACCTAACCGAGTATGCGCAGGGGCTGCCAGATGCACGCTGGTTACATCCGTGCCGCTTGCCGTAGTGATAGGAATTGCAGGAGCCTCTAGTTCTGTACCCCTGTCCTCCTTGTGAAGCTCACGAGCAACGGTGCTTGTCATTCCCAAAAGGGATCGTCCCTGTCGTCGTTTGCTTTCGCGCTCCCTTTCGCGTTCACGTTCCCGATCACGTTCCCTGCCCCTGTTACCTGCAGGAGATTGCCCGGGTTTCGCATTCAGTATCAGTTTATCAAGATGTCGTGGCAGTCCAGGGGCAGGTGGAATGTTGGGAGTAGGGACATGTTGATAAGGTGTCTGGTCGTACTCAGGACCAGCTGTATACGCTAAATAGGCTTCTTCCTCCCGAGCAGCTGCCATAAGCCCTGCGGGGATTTCATCCGTCCACTTTGCAAGTATACCCTTTGGATCGCTTGAAGATGCATCCATAATGGAACCGTGCGTAGAGCTTGTTGTTGACCAGAAGGAGTGCGCATAAGGGTGTGGGTGGCGCCCCGGTGTAGCAGGGGCAACAGACGACACGTGGGGTGGAGTCAAACCGGAGATGGGAACAGCGACGTAATTTGCAAGACTACCCTCATCATCAACGGCAGTCGGCAAGTCATCTGCTACCCGCCATTGTTCATCGACGATGAATCGAATATGATGAGTACCAGGCATGAGTGGCACCCATGCAGACCACGATTTGTCGCTCGATGGATCGCTAGGACATGTTGTTAATAATAGGGCGAAGGCTGCAAAAGAAATGACGTACTCGGGCTCCATAGGCAGACGACCTTTCCAATTGTCGTCTCCGGCGCGAACTAAGACTACGCTCTTCCCACCACCATTCCATGTAATCTTCACGGAGACGGGTTCTTTTGGTTCCTCATGTGATTGATTTGACCGATTCATGAGTTGGCCGTTCTCCCCGTCGGTTTCAGCATTTGCCGATTTGACTATCTCCTCCTCCGCTTTGTGAAGGGCGAGTGGGATGGTTGAATGCACGGTCTCCTGGACAAAACCGGATGGATCAGGTTGTTCAGATACCTCAATCTCACTTTCGGCGTAGAGCTCTTGCATACGAGGCTGAGCAGACTGACCGCGCAAAGGGAAAGAATGAGTGGAATTATACTGCAAAGGCGCGCCTCTGAAGTAAGGGCTCCCTCGCGGGCGATGGCTATGTTGCACAGGGATATGCGTGGATGGAGGTTGATCCAAGAGAAGTTCTGCCGAGTAGTTTCCCGTATCAGGAACTCTGTTTGCGGGTCCTTTCAAATCCAGCCGACGTCCACGAGGGGAAGTGCCTGTATTTGAAGCATTATTCATTGTCCCATTGTTAAAAGCAGGAATCGGAATTGGAATTGGGGAAGTTGTTCTCAGTGGTCGACGGTAAGGTGATAAGGGGGATGAATTCCCAGAGTTGTGGTACGATGCTGCTGGTGTCAGGGAGAGTGATGCAAGATCTGGAAGCTCGAGCGATTTTTTCTTTGTCCGTAACGAGCGATGAGGTTGATGGGGATTGGGTGATGGTGAATGTGATGGAGCTTGTCGACGCGCAGATGAATCAATTCTTCTACTCGGGACAGGTGAGCGTGAGCTTTGATTGGTGTTTGATGCGGTATTTCCCATCTCACGAAGATGACTGTCGTTATTCGCCGTTGACGACGTTCTTTTCGTCCTTGTCGCAACAATTAAGCTCGATGGTGTCAAGAAGAGGTGATACAATGTTTATTATCAAAAGGATAAGTCCCGGTGATAATAATAATAATAATAATAATAACAACAATATATATAAATAGCTTCAAATGATTCATTGCAGGTACTTTAAGACCATCACTGTCGATTCACCACATCCGAAATTCTTACCGAAGACTCCAAACATGAGTGGAGATGCATCTCCTACCTTGCCGCTCACCCCAGCATCAAATGTTGTTGTCGAATCGAGCTCTTCCTTGACCATCCCCGAAACCAGAGACGGATTTTATGGTTATACTGATGAAAAGAGCCTCCAACAAGTGAGATAGTATTTTCCGACAGACATGTATTGGACTCTTATATTTTGAATGATCAGATGGAGGAACAAAGATGGGCACAGCGCCACATTTCCGACGTTGCGCATCCTCAGGCTGATAGTACAACACTATCTACCAGTTTCACGTTGTCTTCCATCCGTGAGGCCCCTCAAATCCAAGCGACTGAAGAGTTACATCCGTCACCTTTCTCTGACGACGAAGATAAAGAACAGATTCCCGATGCTCAGCGCCACAGTTCGTCTTCATTTGACGTGTCTAATCTGACCCCTCAGGTTATATGTCTCTACAGTGGATACCATAATCACCCCGGAGCTTGCACGCGTTGTTCGATGTTTTCAGAAATGCCTTGAGCTTCGCGATAAATATATCACGAAATCTTTACAGAGGCTGGGAGATAACCCCAGAGACCACGACGGCGTCTTTCATGGCGTGGCCGAGGGCCTGGCTGACGTTTCTGGGGTCAAGCCCGATGTTAACCAATCTTTAGCTGCATCCCCAAACAGCCCTCATGAGCCCTGGGTCATATATCCGAAGCCTCCTCCACCCCACTGGCAATTTGCTGCGAAAGAAACGATCATTAGCGCAGATGGTCGTGTTACACCTGACGACCAATTCGATTTCTCTCAATGCCAAATACCCGGTAATCATGAGTGGGAGTTTGAAATAGATGACAAAGGCGTATATCAAGTATACACGAACGCTGATGGTAATTCTGCTCCCTTTCTACCAGAGGAATTTGATCCAATCCTGTTCCCAGCAGAAAACAAGAAACCACTTTTCGATATACCCACTATCAGAGAGTACTTCGTTGATCTAGACTATGTCCTCAGCGTTATCTCCGATGGTCCGGCAAAAAGTATGGCATATCGTAGGCTCAAGTATCTGGCGAGTAAGTTCGAGATGTACAGTCTCTTGAACGAGTTTCAAGAATTAGCTGACATGAAGGTGCGTGAAGACTATCGAGATCCGTCCCAATGTTTATGAAGTATTCGTCTGCAGAGCGTGCCGCACAGGTGCTTCCCCCACTGTACGCACAAGGTGACGGGCTGATTTAAATGATTTAAGGGACTTTTACAATGTGCGAAAGGTGGACACGCATGTCCATCTAGCAAGTTGCATGAACCAGAAACACCTCTTGCGGTTTATTAAGTCCAAGATGAAACGCAGCCCTCATGTTTGTATGAATTCACCTGTGATATATCAACTACTCAGACATTTCGCCACTTCAGGATGTCGTTATCTTCCGTGATGGGACAGACTTGACGCTGGAACAAGTAGTTTCAGTCGCTCAAGCTGAGCGCATACGATCTATCTATCAATACGCTCGACATGCACGCCCACCAAGATTCCTTCCATCGGTTCGATCAATTTAATCTGAAGTATAATCCGATCGGCGAGTCCAGGCTGAGAGAAATTTTCCTGAAAATAGATAATAAGATAGATGGTAGATACTTCGCTGAGATCACCAGAGGTATGCTTCATGATATTCTCCCTGCATCAGTCTGACATGTCACAGAGGTCATGAATGACGTGGAGCAAAGTAAATACCAGGTACGAATGTCCCTACCTGTGACCCTCGGCATATTTACCATATCTTTAGAACTGCGAATGGCGCGTCAGTGTTTACGGTAGATCTGTGGATGAGTGGGACAAGCTTGCGAAATGGATCATCAACAATGATGTGATCTCACACAACGTTCGCTGGCTCATTCAAGTTCCTCGATTGTATCAAGTGTACAAGGAGACTGGTGCACTCGACACATTTGAAGAAATTGTCATTAGTAAGTTCTTCTTGTCCCATAATTTCAGTCCATCTCGACAATGTACTGTGATTGTAGATGTCTTCCGCCCACTCTTTGAGGTCACGAAGGACCCAAAGTCGCATCCTGAACTTCATGTATTTTTACAACGTGTTGTCGGTTTCGACAGCGTGGATGACGAATCTAAGGCGGAACGTCGATTCCACCGCAAATTCCCTTTTCCTCGGCTCTGGGACTCCAAGCAGAATCCTCCATTTTCTTATTGGTGAGTGCGGACTTATCTGCATTTGTTATTCGTCAATTGAATATCGGATAATCACAATCACAGGATGTACTACATGTATGCAAATATGGCCAGCTTGAATCACTGGCGAAAAGCACGAGGGTTCAGTGAGTTTCCTTTCTGTAATTGTCTTTGAGTTCCCAGTGAAATTGACTGCCACGCAGACACGTTCGTATTCCGACCTCACGCCGGTGAAGCAGGAGACACGGATCACCTGACCGCGGCCTTTCTTACATCTCACTCGATTTCACATGGGATTCTGCTTCGCAAGGTCCCCGCGTTGCAGTACTTATTCTACCTGAAACAAATTGGGCTAGCTATGAGTCCATTAAGCAACAATGCGCTGTTCTTGACCTATGAGCGCAACCCGCTTCCTGACTTTTTCAAAGTCGGGTTGAATGTGAGTTTAAGCACCGATGACCCATTGCAATTCCATTTTACAAAGGCAAGCACCTGACTCTGATACATCGTTGTTATTCACTCACTCGGACACCGCGGTAACAGGAACCACTACTAGAAGAATACAGTGTCGCAGCTCATGTAAGATGTTTACCAATCACCAATTTAGCATTTACTAGTGACTGACTTCCATGACAGATCTACAAGCTTCCTCAAAGCTCACTAGCTGAGCTCGCTCGCAACTCTGTGATCCAAAGTGGCTTTGAGATGGAGATCAAAAGGCACTGGCTCGGTCAAGAGTGGTATCTACCAGGCGCTGCAGGCAATGATATCCATAAGGTACACGAGCTGTTCCCATGTGCTCGAGTTATTTATGTACTCACCAATGGCAGACAAACGTGCCAAATCTTCGACTAGCATATCGGCACCGCACGCTACTTGATGAGCTTGCGATGATTAGGTCGCACTCTACATAATCAAGAGCTCGATCTGGCATCATTCGGCGATAGTAGCATTAGAAGTATATCCCGTTTTCTCTTAGACAAGTGTAACTGTGCCTTCTCAAAGTTCCAGATATGGCATATTGACATAGTTCCGCCGTGGCTAATCTGGGGCTGATCATCTGACGAAAAGAACTGTAGGTTCTAAGACCAAGGAAAAGTTGATACCAGCGCCTCCCAGTGAGCCGAATTTGTCTGTGTACGTGAGCCGGGTTGTGAAACAGAAGTGTCATACGGGGCAGAAAGGGCCAGAATTGGGTCGCACCTGCAACTACTGCAACTACTGATATATGGATTATCATAATGAGATTCGAGGGAACATCGTGGCTGTTGCGTCTTGTAAGAGTGGAACAAACATCCCGGAGTTCGAAGCCTGGCGGAGTGGGAAATGCAACCTTGCTGTGCCGGCCTGCGCCGATGTCATGTGTCTATCAATTACTGTCGATCTTCCTACCTGGTATATCACGAGCCGCGGGTTAAGCTGTGGGCAGCTGTGGATCGCAAGCAATTCGATATGATGATGTCAGAGCCTCCTGCATGCCATTTCAACTAGGACTATCCGACCAGACAAACACCGAATACCAGATTGGTGCAGCTGTGCCCTCCGAGAGGTTACATAAATTCAGCCATCTTGTCTCGTTCTAGTGCAGAATTCACGTTCCCCTCCGAGCTAAGAATACCCCACGCGGGTTTTGGTAGAGCATTCCTCAACCGTGAGCGACCACATCGCCCCACCCCCATAGAACGCATATTCCGACTCTCTCGTTTGTGACTGCTCAATACCATGTCAGACGCTGACGCAAGCGAACTATCGAGAAAGCCAAAGGTCCTAGTTGCAAGCTTTGACGGTACCGCAGGGCTTTACGATGCGATGGTGAGGCCCCGAAAAATCATACACGCAGACCGCGAATACAGAGACTAATGCCACTCATACATCATTCCGTTAGAATACGAATGTCGTCAAATTCGTCTCATTGTTAAAGAAAGATACAGATAGCCAAATCTGCTATTACCAGGTACGTGCCTAGATAGACTCCGGCAACTCTACTATGCGATCGCGAGTTGCGTTGTAGTAGCAAGGTGACTCAAATCTACTCTTATTTTACAGGCTGGTGTTGGAACGTATTTTTCTCCTGGAGTGGTGTCACCCATGTTCATTTGGCTCGCGAAGATCTTGGATGAGGCATTTGCATGGTGCGTACGGTAGGCTGAAATGAAGGTCGACGTTGCCTGAGTATATGCAGGTACTTGGATGCCCATGTCATGGAAGGTTACAGGTTCTTGATGGATAACTACCGGCCTGGTGATAAGATTTGTCTTTTCGGTGAGACGTTCACTTTGGAAGTACGTGGGATTTTACTGAACTCAAGGCAGGCTTTTCTCGAGGAGCATATACCGCACGTGCGTTAGCGGGAATGTTGCACAAGGTCAGCTGTCGTTGATCAAAGATGTAGGCTACTTCCCTTAGTAAGACTCCGTCACAGGTTGGGCTGCTTCCAAAATCCGACATCCAACAAGTTGGCTTTGCCTACAGTGCATATAAGCAGACTGGTGTACAAGCAGATGCGCTTGCTGCAGGATTTAAGCAGACGTTTTCGCGTGACGTCAAGGTAGAGTTCGTGGGAGTCTGGTAAGTTATTCCTATATCCGGCCACTCACAACTAACTTTTCAATTTTTAGGGACACTGTACAAAGCACTGGGGTGCTCTGGAGCCGGAATCCTGCCATTCACAGACTCTAATACCCTGATCAAGACATTTCGACACGCTTTGGCTCTCGACGAGGTCTATTAAGCACGTTACCCACTTAACTTGGTGCTGACTCTCTTCAATAGCACCGCGTTAAATTTCTGCCAGCACTTTACCATCGGCCCCATACAAATACACCTGATCCGGAATACCTCGAGTTGTCAAGATTATCTGAAATTGTTGCAGTTTTGGAAGACAATGTTTCCGATGAAATTGGTTCACAGCGGAATAAGCTCCCTCAAGCTGAGAAACGTGCGAAGAAGTTTGCGAGGAAGCTGAAGTTTCAAGGGCTGAAACGTGGTTTTGCTAAGACGATCTTGCGCCAGCGGAGCAAAATTGTCGCTGAGAGTGTTAGGGAAACTATCGTCGTCAAGGGTCAGACAAGTGTGGAAATACTTGATATTCCTGACATAGACCCGACACCGCCATCAGATGTTATGGAAGTCTGGTTCCCGGGATGTCATAGTGGTAAGCATCCACAAGTTTTGCTAATTCTCTTTGAACACGGCATGAGCAGACATAGGTGGCGGAAATGTTGAGAACTCTGTCAAGGTCTCATTGGCGCAAGTCACTCTTCGCTGGATGGTTGAGCAGGTCATCCTGTCTAACTGTGGCATCACTTTTGATGAAGAAGCTCTTGAGCGTATCGGCATGCCATTATCGAGCTTTCCTGTTTCGCAGACGCCTCCTACTACTGAGGATCCGACCAGCAAATCACAACCTATCGATGCTGTTTCGCCTTTCGCAGAAGTACCCTTAGCCGCCCCTTCTAGCCCTCCCACTGATCCCCCCGCCACACCCTCACCCCCAAATCCCCAAACTTGCGATGCTCTAGCTCCTTTGTTCGACGAGCTGCAGCTCCAGAAGGCTTGGTGGCTTCTTGAAATCCTGCCCCTTCCATCCGCATGGCAAGATGCGCATGGCAAGTGGCACAAGAAATGGAGGTGAGCTGTTTGTCGCTGCGAGGAACTTATTTAACCATCGACGGCAGGTTCCATCTGGGCAAAGGTCGCGCTATTCCCTACCAGCATCCCAAATTTCATTCATCCGTCAAGGAGCGGATGGACTATACACCCTTGAAGTATGAACCAAGAGCGATATACCGACACGATCAAGTGGTTTTTGTGTGATGACGACGACCGGACCCCTACGACCCGTACTGATGCCCATCCACGATATAAATCTTTTGAGCCTATAACGCCCTGAAGGATACTACTAGCGTTACGCAGCTTGCGTGAGTAATATCTTGTAATATTCCGAGACCTCCGTCGGACTTGTTTACAACTCGCTTTATGATTATAATAATGCATATGATCACCTCGGCACCAATTTTGTGTTTCGACCGTGCATTCTGCGAGTCTCAGGAGATGCTGTAATCGCCTCTAGTTGTGCCGGCTTTCGATCGTGGAGTCATCGCACGTTTGACCAACGTTTGACCGATTGGATATCTTCGTTTGCAACTGTTGTCCGGCCGCGATGCATGCGGCTTCCAGGGTTATATGTACCGGACGCCACTACAACTTTAAAAGAGGTTTCCGAGTCAATCCAGATCCGGAGCCCCTCATGAATTCCAGTGTAACCATGCAGAGGAAGTAAGGTGTACCGTAATGTTTAGCATGTGGGGAGCCTCATGGTACATGGTGTACGCTGCCTCCAATTGAATCTCCACAGTAGAATCACTGCAATGTAAACTTTATTTCAAGAAGGCATCCTATATAGTGATGCTACAATCGGCCCGAAACTAGAAGTCACTCAGTCTCAGCGGGCATGGTGATTGGACTGTCAAAAGAGCTTCCATTCTTCTCTTGAATGGTTCTGGCGCAAATGCTGTTTTCAGGTTTATTATAAGCAGCAGCTACTTATATCAAATACGACGGGCAAACTGTAAGCGCTGGCACTGGCGAACGATAGACCCGTGATTTAACTTGACACTAGTTATAGGCGATTTTCAACGGTAAGGGTTAGTCACTAATCTGTGGAACCAGCTTATGATGCCGATGACCTAGATGAATCTCTTGACGATCTGTCTCCTAGCATTAACAGTCGTCAGTCCTCTGAGCACACGAGCCACCCCTGGCTCACTGACGAGCGACACTGTCTGGTGCAATGGTACTTGGGCAGGATGTGGCAAGCAGTGTTCAGGACACTTTGAAACTCGCCGATCGTGCACCAAAAATGGGAACAAGACAGTGGAATATTGGTGCTGTTATGACTGACGGAGTCGCTGGCATAGGAAGCAGTGTGGGAAAGAAGCATCGCACAACTGGACATGTGAGCGATGAAACATCACATCAGAGCACGTACCTGGGCGCAAAATAGATGAAATATGATTCCAATCATCAGGTTATCTGAAGGAATATTATTCCGTATTTTTCTATAATACAGACCGCGCGCGAGGATGAATGTGCAATCAGAACAATGACAGCAGGCATGAATTAAGATGACGTGAGAGGGCGGATAAGGGGTATATGAGATATACAAGGGCAACCACACAACAAATTTAAAATGTGTTCGCCCAAACCTCAAGATCGAACCTTGATGCTCTAGCACTGTCTATCCAAGGATGTTTCTGGGTGACAGTCAGAAAGACGACAGATGCAACAAATAAGAAGGGAATACCAAAAGATCCTTGGGCGTGTTTCGCGCATCAGGGTCCTTGAGCAGACAGCTATCGACGAAGTCTTCTGCTTCCTGAGGGAAACGCCCTTCTGGTGTCAGTCGCGGGGCAGGTTCATTAACGATATGCTGGAGCAGTTCCAATATGCTCATCATCATTCCACCTCCCTGTAGGCTGACAGCCCTTGCTCTTCCGCTTGTCCTTCTTTGACGTCTTATCTTTCTCTTTCTTCGGTGGAAGTCCGATGGAACCGGGCGACAAGGTACCTTCGAAGTCGGAAAGATCAGAGTCATCCGGATCTGAATCGGCGAAGGGGAACCGTCCCAGGGCAAGTTCTATGAGAGAAATGCCCAAAGACCACACATCGGACTTGACGGTGTATTGTGCGCCCTGTATCCGCTCGGGCTGTTTGGGATAATCTTATAGATTTGGTAAAGAAGACGCAAGAAATACAGACGCACACTCATATAGGTTGAGGTCCCTACGAAGGTATCGGCGATAGAATTTATGAGTTCACCGGAAACACCGAAGTCGCATATCTTGATTTGACCTTGTGAGTTGCACAAGATATTCGACGGCTTGATATCTGGCACGACCATCAACCTCAACGAAAAAAAACAAAGCTGTCCGTGTTTAAGCTCACCACGATGAATGATTCGGTGTACGTCGTATAGATAAGTCAAGCCCTCGAGCACAGCCAACGCAACCTTGGAGACGACCTCGATGTCGATGGCACCGATTTTCTTGTAAATTCCGTCAAGAGAACCCTTGTCCATGAACTCCATGCAAATGCAGATATTTGGATCGGAAAGAAATGCGCCGTAGAATGAAATGATATATGGCGAATGGCAATCATGCATAATGTGAAGTTCGCGGAGAATCTGCTTCCGCACAGAAGGCTTCGCGTCAATGAGAACAATCTAGAAGCAACAGTTAAAAAAGACATATAGATCTAACACATTAAAATACTTGCCTTCTTGGCCATAATAGTGTTAGTGGGTGTATGTTCTACCTTTTTGACGCTTCCGCCGTTGCCTTGGCCAAGCTCCTGAAGGTCTTTCAGATCTTCATTACGAAGATCGTAACGCGTCTCGGCATTCATATCAAGGTTTGCTAGCGTGTTGGAAAGGGTAGTGTGGTATGTATTTCTCCGCGTATTTGCGGAAGCTGAGGGAATAGTGGAAGTAGGCGCGCCTGCTGCATTCGCAAGATTTCCGTCTGGATCCTGAACGGCGCTAGATACTCCCAATTTTGGAGCGTTGAGAGTCATGGGCGGGGGTCGTTTCTTGCCCTTCGGCGCTGTAGTCGCGGGAGCAGCCCTTGTGGGGACTGGCTCTGGTTCCTTTGGTTTCGCGGGCACATCGAGCTGCAAAGCCTTGAAGTTGCGCTTCTTGCGGATTGGTGTAGCCATGTATCAACTCTTGATCAACAAGGCCAGCCTCCGCAACTCTTGCAAGGCTGAGCACAAGTAATACTTTGCTTCAGTTGTTCAGAACGTTCGAAACTCCGAGTCGACACATTAGAATTAGAAGCTCGTATAGATTACATAAGCCACATGTACATTTTACATCAATCATTCAAATTGTCAGTGGACCGCCTCGATGTCATCCGTCGTACCGTGACCTACTATTGCAAACCTTGGCTTTATCACTCGATGGGTTCTGGCTGGAGACCATTCAATAATCACAATACCATCACAGTACCTTGGTTGCAAAAGCCCTTTCAACGTTGTGGTCACACGGTTGGCAGTTTGCGTAGACACGCCAGAGTCTCATCATGGTTTACTTCTTATTGTGAGTGTCCTCGAACGGCGTGTACTGATATGAATCCATCACATATAAACCAAGCGTGCAACAGCAGGCTATGCAATCCGGCGGATCTATGGAACGAGTGGCGCGTCTTTTGCCACCAGCTTGGCTTTTTCTTCAGATGGAGCAGACGCGCAAGTCGGCCCCCAGTCATCGCTTGTCTCCATGATACAAAGCAGTGTTGTCGCAAGCATGCAGCCTACTTTTTCTCATGCGCTGATAATAGGACTTCCGCACCCACAGCTTACAGGGGCATTCCTTATAGAGACCATCATCTGGCTACCACGTAACACATGTCAGAACGTTGCTGAGCGCCCATAACAATGTCCCAACGTATGCGATACCACCACACGCGTCTATTACTAGTAGGTCCGACTCTCTTGTCTGGCATCATTCACTGTTCAGGTATATTTTTACGCTCAGTCATGACAACGCGTGATGCAAATCTGGTTCTGGGCTGCGTTGTGAACCCCGTTCTCGCGCGTCGTTTGAACCCTGCACGACCCTTGGGCCTTTGTCTGGATCGGTTAGTTTCTCTGTATCCCAACGCATTTGGTGCGCGCTCTACAGGTTTCACATCGAAGGTACTTGCCTCACTTGATCGATGGTCATGCAGCTAATTGGGTGGACTTTAGGCACTGTATTTTCATCTCTACCTAACTGGTGCCTGGTCTGCGTACTGTAGACAATATTTGTGCATACGCTGGAGTGAACCGCCTTCGACATTAGTTAAGATTTGATTAAAGAAAGTTAATGGGTTGCTCCAACTCTCCCAGACTATCGCCTGCCGACACTGCTGATAACAACCCCTTGCAAGATCATTCAGGAATATTCTTGGGCGGATGCAGTGAAGATCCGTGTGAGCAACTTGAGACGGAAAGCAACCAAACACAAATACTGTCAAGCCGGTATTTTCCAATGCACATGGTGCAATTGATAGGCTCAGGGCACCACCCGAGCTCGGTGATCAACCAAAGAGTCCCGCTTGGCACCCTCTCAAACTCCTTCACAATGTATTTCAGTAAGTGTCTCCACAGTACACCAATCCTGACTCGCACTAAGTTAACCTTCAAGCCCATCGCTCATAGAAGACTCCATGGCAGAGTCTATGCGGCGTCGTAGACTACAGCGGCATTTTTGATGCTGAATGTCGCCATCCCCTCTCGCGATGCATGGAGAGCACACGTGTTGTGATTCTCGGGAGCCTAAGACAAGTCCCCAACATGATCGGACAAATGCTTGACTCAACGGTCTTACTGGTGTTGGAAAAACGTCAATGGCGTTCACCATTGCTGAGGAGATGAAAGCAACCAAAAGACTTGCTGCAACTTTCTTCTCACAGAATCATGCACAAAATGTACGACTGGATGAAGTCTTCGATGTCGGACCACAAGGACAAGCAATGACGTAGTGGCCGCACTCTCCGAACACGGGTTTTTGAGAGCAGTAGCTACATATGAATGTTCGTCTACTAATGTTGTCACACTCTGGATCGGAGACACCCGCTTTCAAGGCATTGTTACAACGGACCCGTCATCGTTCCGTCCACCACAAGCTCTGTAAGATGCTCTTGAAGTACGGTCAACTCCTCTTCAAACACCCTTTTCATCAAATTCGTGGTTCCCAGGCACTAAGCCAGGTATCACATCGTCGGGACTAGGCAGGATAAAGCTCGACATTTTCTCGTTCGATGTGCATGTTAAAATACAGCCGACAGTGATGATCTGACCACACGAGGAGCGCCTAAATGCTATCCTCACGCACTCGAAAGATAGGACCTGCTATCTTCATAGTCAAGTTAGGCTCATGATACATGATTGCGTCTTTGCTTCATGTCAATTACAAATACCGTATCTGCGATGCAATAAAGTACATAGGTCTATGTGTGACGAGGTCCAAAACCAGTTCAAAGAGCGATCCCACTTGGCTCTTGCGACTCATATCCCTTGTGATCTAAATCATGTTCCGATTCCTCCTCCACCGTACCCACACTCGGGCGCGGTGATATTGGTGATGTTGGAAGTTGTACTGTGCCCGAGTTTGATGATGAATCTGTGGATGCTACACTCGAGCGAGACATGGAAAATCGCGAAGCACGACCGGACCAGAAAGACTGTATACCTGCACCCCAGTTTCCCAATGCTGCCTTCGCATCCGACGCGGCTTGCGCGACACTTACGGGCCGTGTAGGCATACCTAATACGGAATCTCTCGACGTCTGTCTGCTGATATCAGAAGTAGGCTTGCTCCCCTCAAAAGCGGGGGACGAAGACAGTACTGTTTCTGATTGAGAGACCGTCACTGGGGTCTCACACACGCTGCTCGCAAGATCGGAGTTGAACGAAACAGAGCTGGTTGTGCGCTGCTGCTGCCATCGCCCACGGACGCCTTCGACCGCTTTAAAGAAGTTCGTTGAGCTAGCGGTGATAGTGCGTGAGATGGCGTCTCGGGTCGGAGCTAGTTGTTGCTCCAGTTTCAGTTCTTGAAGTCCTTCGGACAACCGTATTCCAATGTCTCCAACGACAGAGGGCTTCTCGTTGCACGGGTGACTGTTAGAGTAAAACTAAGCGTTTGAGAGAATTGTTGGAACAAGTTGTCCAACCGTGGTTCGACAATGTCGAAGAGCATAGGGTCTGTAGACCTCTGCCACACATCATATGCATTCGTCTTGGTGAACTCGGCGATCCAAAGTGGGTTGAAGTCGTCGATCGAGTTATCATCTCCTCCTGCACGAATGTTGTAAGTGTTGATTGTAGTTGTACACACTCAAGACTTACCTGTTCCAGTAATGATCACATTATTCACTTTCCCTTTTGCAAGGAACTCTCGATATCGAACAGATGCAAGTGCAGCGGAAACGTACTCTTCGAACTGTAAAACATAAGTCAAAGCGCATCTGACACATAAGCTAGCCCAACCTTGGCTCGCAGGTAATCATCACTGCCTTTGAAGCTGTCAAACATATTAGATCTGGAACCGGGCAATTCCGCAAGGTAACAGACTGCATGGTAGGCTTCATTGGATCTGCATCATCCCAAGCATCATTGACGTCTCGAACAATCTCATCCATCCATTTTCGGTCGGCCGCTGTCAGGCCCATTAGCCGTTCCAACCTATGATTTCGAAACTCTAGTGTGGCTGTTTCCGTCTGCGAATCAAAGGTGAGCTTCGAGTTGCGTCGATGGCATCTGAAGACCAACATTGATAAGCAACTCAATCTCCTTTTGTTGAGTCACGATGGTATTCGTGCTCCCGCATAGCCAGCCTTGTGAATCCTTTAGAAGGTCCAACTGCTGCAAGGGCAAGTACGGTTGGAAGAACGCATCCTAAACCGCATGGTCAGCTTTGTACGCTATTGTGCAAAGCAGAGCATACCTTGCCGAAAATATCTAGCGGCAGACCCATATATGCCATCATACTTTTGCGATCTGATGTTCGTAACGACTGTGGACACGAAAGTGTGGGTGCACGTGCAGCGAGAGGAGGGGATCCGGAATCCTCCAGCGTTTGCAATAAGCCTGAATATAAATTTGAGGGTCAGGAAAAGAGAGAACATATGAGTCATTACCAGGGATCAATGATATGAGGGAGTACTGGTAAGCACATAATCGTTCCACTGGGTGACCAAAGAACATAATCTAGGCTATATTTAATAAAGACTGTATATTCGATGTTTATAACAGACCTTTTTCTGACACATGAGGGCTTTCAATAGAATAAGCGTGCGATGGCGAAAGGTGTGGACAAACTCCCGGCTAGCTACGTCAGCTTCTCAGGATGGTCAGTACTGCGCAACTTACATGCTCGTGCCTGCATAAATGCAAGGTGATCAGATATGCCACATCGTCTCGATGAGCTTCCTGACACACCAATATACAATCCGCTTTCCGTTAGCTGTGTGCGAAGAGAGATTTCCAGCGACGCGCCGAAATCTACCAGAATACTAGTATCCGAGAAGTCGCTTATGAAGCAACGTTAGAATTGGCTCGTCAAGTGACATTCAAACTCACCGTTGCTCGAACAGCGCGCGTGTAACGACACCCAAGCGATCCCTAACAAGTCGTGTAGTAGTCAAAGGTATGTGCGCGGGGTTACAGACCAACCGAATGGGGCCAAAGACTGGCTTCGATGCCAAGACCACGACAGCCTTTTGAACGATTGACCGAGTCACATCTACATCTTTCACAAGTAATACTGAGGCTGGTATTTGGCGGTTGCATCTGTAGACCAAAAGTTAGGGTCCGACGCGCATATAACGATTTAGAATAATCCGCACGAGATGCCAAAAATCGTGGTAGGTATTGGAGTATTTGGAACAAGATGAAAGTAAGAATAATCTTCTAGAGACTGCATAAGGTTGTTCATGAGAGCAAGTTTTGCACACACTTCGTTGTGCTTACCAGATGTGCGCCGTCTGGAAGAGCCAGGAAGGGAAGTATCTTGACAATCTCTTCATCTTGGAAAATGTCGCCATGGCAGAATTCAATCTTCGGACCAACCTGAATTATACATGAGCTTCCAAAGTAATGCAGGTATGTTCAATCATCATACCAGGTGGTTGAAGTCTACAAGTGCAATGCCCAAGACTAATGGGCCTTCCGGGGGTTGTAGCAACATAGACTCCGGTCGTGCTTTCTTCGAATATGAAGAAGCTGCAGAAGTGAATGAATCTGTGTCCGTTGCAGCTGATGAAGGAGTTGGCGGATAAGTCACAGCATATGGCGTGTTGTATTTCGGTTCGTCAAACAGAGCTGCAGAAGGAGCCGCAGATGTAATCGAACTAGCACGCTGAGCGTTCCTCTCGCTAAAGGAGTCGCTTACATCGTCCGTTTCTGAGTTGAAATCAATCTCTAGAGAGTCATTCTGTGATCCACGTCTATCAAAAAAATCTTGAGCGCGTAGAGCAGTATTGGGGTCGTGTCCTGGCGAATGTGGAGCAGATGAAAGAGAAATTGAGCGTTGAGAAGCAGTATCAGCATCGGCATCGTCATTTTCGCTTTCGTCTTCGAATTCACTGCGATCGTTTACGAGAAAACCACCGACGACATGTTCGTCAGAATCAATCCTTTCAACGCTGGACATGTCGAATATTGACGGCGTGATTGGTGAAGACAGCTGTGTAAGCTCTTAGCTCAGAAGCGCCAATCACGGCCCAAGCCTATCATGGCACTCACGTGCGGTTGTCATCGCTCGCCCGCATTGGCTCTGCGGCATCAATGTGGCGGTCCACGAGTCTGAGAAACGAATCCGCTGCGTTTACCAGGACCAGCGTGTCCTTGAACAAGTTGTCCTGAAGACTGAAGATTTAGTCCCGTCATGGTCAAGCCCGGCGTTATCCTTCTGGTTTTGGCTACCTCTGCGCTGGCACTCCCCACCCGTTTCATGGATACCCTACAGTCCATCTTCGGGACTACGTTAGATTTTCCTAAAGCTGAGATTGGTTGGACCGATCCACGTCTCAATGGTGGACGGTTTCTAGACGTAAGTGCATCGTAAATTTACATGATCCTCCTCACGTTTGCTTGCAGTTCACGACTCCCAGATACGGGGAACCGCTAAATGTTATCATATCTAACCAGTCGGATCCCTTTATTTTGACGGATGCTGGCTTTCGTTTGTATTACAAGTGAGCCGCATGTAACTTTATGCTCGAGCCTCATTGACATGTCCTGCAAGGTCCATCGGGTTTTCCGAGGAGTGTTTAGGGCTCCATTATGGTCATGTCCACAAAGCAGACCTCGGCGACGGCGACGAGAAGAAATCTGAGCATATTCTGGCAAGGCAATACTACTTCCCTATGTGGGGAACATGCTGGGAAAGTATAGCAGGTTTGTCTTCCTCCACGTTTCGTTAAATCTTTGTGTGATTCGGTGTTCAGGAGGAAACCACTTCCGCGCTTGGAAGCAGAATGGGTCAGAAATTGACACGGGAGCATGGTTTTTGGCGTAAGCACCACCACCTCACTTCCAGATGTGACTACTGACACTCCATCCCCAGTGTCTCCAAGGAAATGGTGAGTGGAACATGAGCAGAACTTAGGAACCATATTTTATCTTTGGCAGGACTCCACTAAAAACCATATGATAATTCCGGACGGATATAACATCGGTCGTGATTTGCTCGTTGAAGCTGCCGCATCTGTCAGCCATTGGAATGGCAGGTGGTGGCAAGCTGATGTGGAGTGGCGGAGAGGCCTCCTCGAACCAGGATACAAAGGTCAGCAGCTTCCTTTCCTCTGTGTGGTTATTCTTGACTCGCCATTCAGGAATCAATCATGCCATTGCGCAAGATGGACGCATTGCGATCCTGACTGTCAATCGACTGTAATTGTCGCCTTATATTCAGTAGGTGTGTTGTCAGTTTGGACAAAGGGTTGGTGTTGTATTATATACCATGTGCATGGGACATTACCCTGTTATTTACAATGTACGCATGTCTATAGTTTCTGTCACTAGAACATATCCTTATTGTCATGTCTATCCTGACGATCGCTGACAGACCGAAATCCATCTATTTCATTACAATTACAACAGCTGGTATACAATCGTGCCAAAAAATGTAGAACAAATGTGGGTAACAAACAAACAAGGAGTGCATGATTAAATAACTTCTGACGATGCAAGATGAATCCCGACCATACCAACAACATACCACCTCTGAGTTTGTTAACCGGAGCACATGAGGCAGGCCTCCTTGTTCTCTAGTGAGCACAACATTTTTGCTTCTTCGAGCTCGCGCTCCCTTTGACGCTGAAGGGCAGCGGCGTACTCAGGGTCAATGTCAGTAGCTTCACTGGGACCCGACGAACTCGGCGCAACACCATTGTCATTCGAATTAGATGGTGGAGGGACTCGGCGAAGAGGGGATGGAGAAGCGGAAGGGGTAGGAATCCCAGTGGCAGCCTTGTCGGATTCGCCCTGTTGCACCTTGGCTGCTTTAAGCACACTCTGGTCGATAGTGAACTGAACAGCTTGCGCCGCCGGACGAGTGCGCAAATAGTACATGCCAGTCTTAAGGCCCTTCTTCCAGCCATAAAAGTGCATACTCGTCAGTTGGCCTATGGTAGGCGACTGCAAGTGAATGTTCAAACTCTGACTCTGACAAATAAACGCTCCACGGTCGGCAGCGAGGTCGATAACCTTCTTCTGCGAGATCTCCCAAACGGTTTTGTAAATGGCTTTTACATCGTTTGGTATACTGGGGATGTTGGCGACGGAGCCATTATGAGCAATGATCATGTTCTTCATGTCGTCATTCCAGAGCCCACGGTCGACTAGGTCCCTGAGCAGCCAGGGACATACAACCTGGAATTCACCAGCAAGGACACGGCGAGTGTAGATGTTACTGATCGAACGCGTTAGCATACACAACGTGACAAGGAGGTCAGACGTACCTAGTGTAAGGCTCGAAGCATTCATTGAAACCGAGAATTTGACTAGTTGATGCAGTCGGCATGGGTGCAACCAACAATGAATTGCGCAATCCAGTTTGTGCGATCTTTTCCTTGAGACTGGTCCAATCCCAAAGGTCAGTGGGCGTGACACCCCAGAGATCATATTGCAGTTGACCAAGATCAGCGGGACTGCCCCTGAAAGTCTCGTATGGTCCATCCCTTTCAGCTTCCTCGCAGCTGGCCTCGAGTCCAGCGTGATAGATGGTCTCAAAGATCTGAAGATTGAGTTGCCTTGCCTCAGGTGAGTCAAATGGCAGACGAAGAATCATGAAAGCATCTGCGAGACCCTGGACACCAAGACCAATGGGGCGATGACGCATGTTGGAAGTATGAGCCTCCGGAACGGGGTAGTAATTTACATCGATAATGCGGTTGAGGTTGCGAGTGACGACCTTCACGACATCATGAAGCTTTTGGAAATCGTACTTGTCGTTCGAAATGAAAGTAGGGAGGGCCAGAGAGGCAAGGTTGCAGACGGCGGTTTCCTCCGGCGACGAGTACTCTATGATTTCAGTGCACAAGTTGGACGACTTGATGGTGCCCAGGTTCTTTTGGTTCGATTTGCCTATGGATGATCATGAGTAAAGAAACTGTTACGAATGACTTCGACGTACGGTTAGCGGAATCTTTGTAGACCATGAAAGGGCCACCAGTCTCAATCTGAGCTTCAAGAATAGCATACCACAGCTTTTGAGCTGAAATGACCTTTTGTGCTCGTCCCTCTTTCTCGTACTTCTCATAGAGAGCTTCAAATTCCTCGCCGTAAACCTCGTGAAGACCAGGCGCTTCATTTGGGCAGAACAGCGACCAGTTTTCATTGGATTCGACGCGTTTCATGCTAATAAGGGAAAGTTAGGGTGGTGACAAGATCACAGTCGAACACATACAACAGGTCACAAATCCACAGGGCATAGAACAAATCACGGGCGCGTGACTCCTCTTTACCATGGTTCTTCCTCAGGTCGAGGAAATCAAATATGTCAGGGTGCCATGGTTCAAGGTAAATTGCGAAAGCTCCCGGCCGTTTGTTGCCACCTTGATCGACATAGCGTGCCGTGGCATCATACGCGCGAAGCATAGGAACAATGCCGTTCGAGTAGCCATTTGTTCCAGCAATGTAGGACCTGTAAGGTAAATATTACTAATTGAGCAATGCCATAAATTAATTTGACGTACCCAGTAGCACGAATACAATGAATGCTCAAGCCGATTCCACCTGCGGTCTTGCTGATCATGGCACAGGTCTTGAGGGTGTCGTAGATACCCTCTATGGAGTCATCTTTCATGCATACCAAGAAGCATGAGCTTAGTTGGGGGTGAGGAGTGCCAGCATTAAACAGAGTTGGTGATGCGTGTGTGAAAAATCGTTCAGACATAAGGTTGTACGTCTCGATGACGCTCTCCATATCATTCTTGTGAATGCCAACAGCAACACGCATGATCATATGTTGGGGACGTTCGGCAACACGGCCATTGATCCTGAGGAGATACGACCGCTCGAGAGTCTTGAAGCCAAAGCTGAAAAGAATGAGTACGATATCATCGTGCATCTTGATAATCGTGCTTACTAGTTGTAGCTGAAGTCACGGTCATAGATGATTGCAGAATCAAGACGAGCGGCATTCTTTTGCACGACCTCATATACATCATCGGCGATCATACTAGCAGACTTTCCGTTCTTAGGATTGACTTGATGAAGAAAAGTTAAACAAGTCGAACACCAAAGATGTGGAAACATACTATATTCATAGAGGTCCCTCACAACCGTAGAGAAGTTCTTCTTGGTTTCCTTGTGGAGATTTGATATTGCGATACGCGCAGCGAGGACAGCGTAGTCAGGGTGCTTCGTAGTAAGATAGGCTGCCGTCTCGGCGGCGAGGTTCTATCTCAGGTCAATGAAGTGAACAAGGCAAAATATCATAAAACACTTACATCGAGTTCGACGGTTGTGACGCCTTGATATACACCTGCGATGACCTTTTTGGCAACCCTGTAGAGAAATTAGTTACACGCAAAAGTAACAATACTGTTAACCAACTCAATCGGCTCGACATAGTTAAGGTCAAGGCCATAACAGAGCTTATTTATTCTAGCTGTGATCTACCAGGCGGTGAGCTATGCACTATACAGCTTAGTGGGCTTATACCTTGTCAAATTTAACTTCCTCTTTGCGACTACACGTGAATAACGCGTCAGATGATGTGGAAAAGGATGATCTCGCGTGCGTTTGCTTACCCATCTGTGCAGAGGGACACGCCGATCAGTTACCATACGGTGACCAGACTTAGGGGCGACTGACCTCTTTTGAAGACGAAAGCCATGGTAAATCACTCTTCAAAATGGAAATCAAGGAAGATGAGAATGACAAAAAAATGAGTCTGATGACGGACGAGATGAAGGAAAGGAAAGTCGCGTCGCGAAGAATTTAAGTGGCGTGTGCATTACTCAGCCAAACAACCCAGATAGGATATCGTGTCACGCATCCATGCGTATTGAACGAGTGTAAATTCGATTTAAATGCGCGCTTTTCTCGTACTGCGACATTCAAACCAGTTCAGGCTGGTATATATGTACATGTGTGCATAGATCAAAGCGTGAAATGAGACTGAAAATAATGGGTTTCTGGCATGTTTGCCTAAGATGTCACATTAGGTTAGACACGCTAATCAACAAAAATCGCGTACCGCGTTATTTTGGCTTGCTTGTGTGTGCATCCAAGTCTCTGACTCATCTATTCATAGCCCATCTTTCGCACCCGCAACCAGGTTGTGTAATGCCACATACTCAACAGATTCACACTGGCGACCCTGCGTATGCTTCTCCTGTAATTCGTCCTCCTTCTCCTGCAAGTTCTGTGGGAACCGCGTACGGGCCCGATGACACGTCTCTATCTGACTCAGGATTGAGTCAGGATGTTTTCGAGCGAAAGACGATCGCCAACCTTCGGCTTGACGAGCCGAAACATGATGAAGTTCATAACTTGAAAGACCCCTTGATTATTTGTCCCAGCGATCCGCAAGAACAGAAGCGTGTGTTGAACTTCATCCTCGTTCCGCTCCTTTGTTGATCACTCCAGCTAGTGCTGTTTGAGGAAATATTATGTGGCTTCCGCCGGCGTGTTCAGCGGCTGGAGGAGGATGAATTATTCCAGCAAACAGTCATAAACGGTTCTCAAATTGGAAAGGAGCAACTGCCTTCAGCTGACAACGTGGCGAACTTGATACAGAACATGATGGGCACCTCAATAGGGAGCGAAGCAAGCCACATACAGGATGGTCCTTGGAACAGGTGCAACACTGCTCATGCGACTTCCACCTCCAGCAGCATGAGGACCGCCGCCGGGAAAGGGCGATTAGGGCAATACTGACTCATGTTGTGGCCGTTTCCACCCCATTGACGAACCTGCTCATTCAATGTACTCAAACAACAGAATTTGTACAATATTTAGCAGTACATATGGAATGTACTCCATCGAGTCGGGCAGACATTAATATTCACCACCTTCTGTGAAATAATCTGGTAGCGCTTGCTGAATCTGCTTCACCTTTTCGTGGATAGACCGTCTTGCCGCAGACTTGCAATCGTGGTGCATATATGTTGCAGATCCCCACTTGTCAAACTCCTTGACAATGATCCCCAATCTCCCGAGGACATTTGCAGAGTCGAGGGACAACACGCCTTCTGACCTCGTCTTCTCCTTCCAGAAATCTGACCAGCTCTGAGTGCATCCATGTTGGTGCCACGTCGCACCGCAGGACGGTGCGTGTTCGAACTGCGGAGGAACAGCACGCAACCTGTCCCACGCCTTAGAAAGGCGGTAATATCCCGACAGAAGTCTCAGCTGCTGTATCGGGCTGACCACCAGCCGCTGCAGCCCCTCACTCGTTTCTTGAATATCACCCTCCACGTATGTGTGACCGTTGCCCGCCCCTGGACAGACAAATACCGACGTTTGCATGACTTCGAGATACGCCGCGCCTCGCAGGTCCCTAAGGTTAAACTCATCCGCGAGCGTCATGGCCAGATATGAATAATGCAAAGAACCAGACATTAGCTTTTGAAGAAGTTGGATCATCGTGTCCATCAGACGTGAGTGCGAACACATCTGGGCGAGTCTGATCAGGCGAGCAATTTGTCCTTCACTTTCTAAAAGAGCCGAAGAGCGAGTGCTTAATGTTGGGAACATGCGTATTAGAGGGTTGTCATTGAACAAGGGGGACATGTTCCGTTCAAGGTACTCTTGAATTGCGTCCAATGCCCATGTTTCTGTCGACTTGAAAGTGTACTTGCTGGACACCTTTGCGATGTCTATTAGTCGGCTAAGATCGGCTTTTGGAGATCGGACTATTATTAGTTCCGAGGGTCTGTTGCACTCAAGTATGAGAAGGGTGAACCTTGCAGGCGCTTAGATAACACTCACAGGGCATAGAGCGCCCAGAGGAAATGCCTGAACTCTTCCGCAGTATCCCCCTGCAGAATGATGGGATGGTCGTCCGACATCCCTTCCTCTCCGAATTCACCTTGTGGAAGCGTAAACATAGGCCCGAAGAATGACTGATCCTTAGACAAGATCGTGCGATGGACCTAATACACCATAAATCATTCAACACATGAGCATGAATCTCACTTCAGATCATACTTTGAATAGTGTGTTTTGCACACGAAGAACGCAGCTCCCGTCAGCCATGTAGTATGCATCGTCCCTTACGGGACTCTTCAATTCCTCCGAAACCATGATAAGAGGTTCAAGTTGGTCAGACTCGGATGCTGTAATGTCAAGGCTGCTAGTATGGCGCGCTCGCTTTCGCAGTGGTGATTGCGTATGTTGATCTTCTATTACTATGTCTGGCTCTGGAGAGAATTCATGTACCGGGATGAATGGTATGACGGGGCTGTCCATCCCTGCGGTCCGGAATATTGAGTCCAACAAAAGGTAGGTGGTAAATATAATATTGTCCCGAGTTCCTGAAAGAGCATTTCAAGACAAATTAATTATATATATTGGTGGACGAGTAAAACCACCGAGATTGTTATACTTAGATGTTTTAAATTCGGTGCCGTGTCGGATGCACAAAGTTGGGATGTCCTCTGAGCGTACTTCCCTCGCACGGTACCGATTTGTTCCTACTCTCAGCTATGTCGTCTGGTACTGTCACTCTCAACGATGGAAATGAGGTATCGTATTAATTATGAAAGTTTGCATTACCGTGTCATGACCTGATCATATGTTCTGTGCTGCATCCCAGTTCCCCATAATAGCTTTTGGCACGGGATCCACCATGAAATTCAAGGATGTCACAGACTACGTGGGCCAGGCCATCGAGAACGGATTTTCTCATATCGACACCGCACAGTGTATGTCACTTCTAAGTTTGAATTGCAGTGATTATTGTAATCTCATGTTTCGAAATTCGTTCTGGTATAAGATTATCAGACAGAAACCTACGTGGGCCTAGCCATCAAGGAGAGCGGTCTTCCTCGCTCGAGTCTGTATATCACTACTAAGTACAGCTTTGGTGCATCACCGCGGGAGGCTATTCAACAAAGTCTGAACAAAGTTAGGCCTCACATACCACTCACGAGTTGCTGCACGGACTTAATTATATGCTCGCTTAGATTGGCCTTTCATATGTTGATTTGTATATGGTGCACTCTCCGGAAGTCCTTTCTGACTTTGAATCTGGGTGGCAAGAATTTGAGAAAATGCAGAAAGATGGATTGACAAGGTGTGCCCTTTGCGACCCGACCAGGATTCATTGGTTATCATAGCTATCAGGAGTATTGGCGTCAGCAACTTTACTGTAGAGGACCTTCAGAAACTTCTGAAGACTGCGGTTACGAAACCCGCCGTCAACCAAGTAAATTTCTCCAGCTGAACCTGATACCAAATATAACCAACTCGTGCAGATTCGATTCCATCCGTATAATTATGCATCGCACAAAGCTTTGCTCGAATACTGCGCAAAGCAGAGTATCACGGTGGAAGCATATGGAAGCTTGACGTGAGTCCTTAGACTGCTCCTAACAACTCGTTGCTCCAAACTTGAACCGTGCTGATTTCTGCATGGCCAGCTCTATCACACAGAACCCTGGAGGACCGGTCGATGCGGTAGTCAACGCCGCTGCTAAGCGTATAGGAGCAACTCCGAATCAAGTGATTTTCTCTTGGGTCAGAAGTAAAGGTGTAGCAATCGTCACGTATGTCCATCTACTTTCCGTGTAATCTTCGTATCTCATGTCACTTCCATCACTGAAGGACGAGCCGGAGCAAGGAACGCCTTCAAGAGTACCTTGCCGTCGAAGATCTTCGTATGTCTCGAATCATGAAACGTGACGTTAATCTAATCCAGTTCATGAAGCCCCACTCACCGCTGAAGAAATCGCTGCCATCGATGACGCTGGTGCTAAAGGCCCTCCCTCCAAGTTAGTTGTTGCGAGGATTGCAATGCAACACAAATTCGAAAGGTCTCCATCGTTGGTCATGTGGCTGGCTATTGCAATTGTATTTAGCTTTGCAACGTTTTTCGTTGCGAGAGCCAAAGCACTCGATTGACTGGTCGATGGCTGTATCCTGTCACTTGTGTACTTATTTCGCGGCCTCTGGTATATGTCCACAGTTTCCGTGCATGATGATGGTCAGCAGTCGTTGTACTAGTACCCCCCAAGCAATGATGACGACTTACAAAGTAGCTAGCTGGAAACTTGTTGTATGAGTTACACGGAAAACCGACACAAGCAACAAAACGCTATAGTGGTAATACTAACGTTCGAAATGCAGGATGATGACGGTCAAGGTAAGAGTAAAAGTATCGCTGTGGACAATCAAAGTCGACAAATTTTTCGTTAGATTCTTCTATACTTCAATACTCCATTGAAAAGCTTTGAAATATCGTAGATACGTTTGCTAGATATATATGCTACTTCAGATTTGCACGGGGGATTTCTATAAATAACATTTTGACCCGAATATTTGGCGGTATACCAGGACCCCTGATAATTTCCATTAAGGACTGCCCTGGCTGGCCCACGAGGGGGAGCTGATAGTGAAGGTGGTCCGAGCGCAAAGCCAGGAACGGCCAATGAGCGCCGCTGCGCTGACATTGAGTTGCACCCTGAAATATATGTCAATGTATGAGGTTTATTTTTACTAACCTACTATAAAGTCAAGTGCCCAAAGAGACGCACATCTCAGTTCTTGAACAGAAGCTGAGATGTAAGTAGTGTATTCCTGTACGTTAGTTCTAGCTAATGAAAAGTGTAGCGTACCTTGTGTTTATAGGTACAACCGCATTAATAGAGTTCTTGAACAGAAGCTGAGATCATACCTTGTGTTTATAGCGCTCCCGCCTCCTCCCTATTCGTCCCATTAACCGAGATGCCAGTGGGTTGCAACCTGCAACATTTGCAAGTCTCACAACTTATGAGTTGTGACATTCATGAAGTAGTAAGCACTCAGCACTATGCATAATGAAATTGGGACATACTGGGAATTTGCGTGGATCATACTGGACCCAACAACATATATGAAGAGGTTGACTGGAAGTAGTGATGGAACAGTCTGGTTCAGTCCGGTTCACCAGGAAAATCAGCAAACGCTGAATTGGACGTTTGCGTTCGGTTCGGCGATTTCGCTGAACACTGGACCGAACGTAGTCAAATGCGTTCGGGACGTTCAGTTCATGTTCAGTTTGGCGTTCGGTAGCACAGCTTCACACGTGCCATCAGTGCGGCAACAGACTCGGATCCACCATCCATCACGCCAGTCTGCTGACGTGAATGTTGGCAGCGGTTCTGTCCTCATTGGTGAACTAGCAAGTCTGACAATGACGGAGCAAGGAATACTACATTCACTCGCAGAGGGCAGAGGGGTCACCCGGTATGATAGTATTGGCTTACTGGAGTCATGTGGAAGCTGTCAGCAGGTGTTCACAGCGAGTGTACTGTGGACCCACATCCTAACCTGCATAGAGAGTTAAATCTTATATAGTTATCGAGTCTGTTTGTTACAAAGCATTAAGCATGTTAATGAAGAGCTAATCTATGCTAAAAATGAGAGAAAGATATAAAAGTATGACGAGCCGACAAAGGAGTAAGGAAAGGGAATTCGAAACATGCCGCAGGGAGCAAGGATATCTTGAGGCCGTTATATACCGCTCAGTAATAATCGCAGCATTAAGCTGAAGCGAACATGTCAAGCAGAGGCTGGGGTCTTTTCGTTGTGAATGACGTGAGGGTGTTCGGACTTTGTCTGTGCAGGGTTTGGAGAAACTCGAAAAAACCGAGTAAGATCCGACTGATAACAGGGTACTAGAAATCGGCGGCGAGCCGCCGTTACGATAGACTATTGGTGGATGAGTAAAACCACCGAGATTGTTATACTTAGATGTTTTAAATTCGGTGCCGTGACGGATGCATGCACAAAGTTGGGATGTCTTCCGAGCGTACTTCCCTCGCACGGTATCGTTTCGTTCTTACTCTCAACTATGTCGTCTGGTACTGTCACTCTCAACGATGGAAATGAGGTATCGTATTGATTATGAAAGTTTGCATTACCACGTCATGACCTGATCATATGCGCTGTGGTGCGTCCCAGTTCCCCACAATAGCCTTTGGCACGGGATCCACCATGAAATTCAAGGATGTCACAGACTACGTGAACCAGGCCATCGAGAATGGATTTTCCCATATCGATACCGCACAGCGTATGTCATTTCTAAGTTCTATATTGGAATCTCATGTTTTAAAATTTGTTCTGTTATAAGATTATCAGACAGAAACCTACGTGGGCCTAGCCATCAAGGAGAGCGGTCTTCCTCGCTCGAGTCTGTATATCACTACTAAGTACAGCTTTGGTGCATCACCGCGGGAGGCTATTCAACAAAGTCTGAACAAAGTTAGGCCTCACATACCACTCAGGAGTTGCTGCACGGACTTAATCGTATGCTCGCTCAGATTGGCCTTTCTTATGTTGATTTGTATCTGGTGCACTTTCCGGCAGTCCTTTCTGACTTTGAATCTGGGTGGCGAGAATTTGAGAAAATGAAGAAAGATGGATTGACAAGGTGTGCCCTTCGCGACTCGACCAGGATTCGTTGGTCTTCATAGCTATCAGGAGTATTGGCGTCAGCAACTTTACTGTAGAGGACCTTCAGAAACTTCTGAAGACTGCGGTTACGAAACCCGCCGTCAACCAAGTAAATTTCTCCAGCTGAATCTGATACCAAATACAACCAACGGAGCTTGTCGCGCAGATTTCATTCCACCCGTATAATTATGCTTCACACAAAGCTTTGCTTGAGTACTGCACAAAGCAGAGTATCACGGTCGAAGCATATGGAAGTTTGAAGTGAGTCCTCAGACCGCTCCTAATAATTCGTTGCTCTAAGTTTGAACCATGCTGGTTTCTGCACGGCCAGCTCTATTACGCAGAATCCTGGAGGACCGGTCGATGCGGCAGTTAACGCCGCTGCTAAGCGTATAGGAGCAACTCCGAATCAGGTGATTTTCTCTTGGGTCAGAAGTAAAGGTGTAGCAATCGTCACGTATGTCCATCCACTTTCTCTGTAATCTTTGCGTCTCATGCCACTTCCATCACCGAAGGACGAGCCGGAGCAAGGAACGCCTTCAAGAGTACCTTGCCGTCGAAGATCTTCGTATGTCTCAAATCATGAAACGTGACGTTAATCTAATTCAGATCATGAAGCCCCACTCACCGCTGAAGAAATCGCTGCCATCGATGACGCTGGTGCTAAAGGCCCTCCCTCCAGGTTGGTTGTTGCGGGAATTGCAATGCAACACAAATTCGAAAGGTCTCCATCGTTGGTCATGTGGCTGGCTATTGCAATTATATTTGGCTTTGCAACGTTCTTCATGTTCTGAAGTTGTACGGGGGAAGTACGAGCGAGGTTTGGAGTTTTTCATGGGCGAATGTAATACATATCCAGTGTTTGTTGTTCTTGTCTTTCACCACACCCATCAACCTTTCACTCTGCATCACTGTATGTTCCTTCCCATAATGTAGTGATACGCCTCACATCGAGTATTGGACTTGATCAGTGCATCCTGCGACCCTGCGCAAACCTGGCCACCTACCACCATTTTCATTTATTGGGCAGATCTGCGATCAAAGTCAAAAATTCAGCTTGTGTTTGGGCTCACAGTACGAATCATCTAACGACATCTCCCTGCACGAGCCTCAGAGTAACCTAGATCAGACCTTGCGTGAATGACTGCAGTGCTGGACCACTAGCCAGACGGACATTGTGCTCTGTTATTAATGCTTTGCTAATTCCTCAGACCGCCACATCAGCAAAATGATCAGAGGTACTTGGTGCTGAATTAAAATATACGGTAGCACTTTAAGCAGTCTAGATTTTGGCAGAACAGTGAATGCATCTCCCGGACAAACCATCATGAAAATTATACAAATTAATCATAAGTACTCTCGATACTCGGGAGGAATGTCCACCTGTCCGCGGAGCGGACCACCAGCTATACGGACACCGCCATCATCATGTAGGTAGACTTGTTCCTCGTTGGCTATCTGGCGAGGGAAGAAAGTATCGGCCTCCAAGTCCTCAACACGACTCACGCTCCCAATACCTACGGTAGATGGTGGGATAACAGAAGGCTGGGAACGGTTTGAACGGGCCAATCATCAAGCCCAACGAGAGGTGCGTTCGACGTGGTCGAGAAGTCGTAGTTGCTGCGAACCTCATATATGGAAGGGTTAGGAGCATTTTCCACATCTGTGTTCGCATATGAAAATTAAAATGTGAACTCTCATTTTTGGAAATTAACAAACTTGTTTTTCCAGCTACCGTTTGAGCATTGAGTTGTCTCCGCAGGTAAAAAATCAGCGCCAGTACAGCCACAACCAGTAATACCCCTCCGACCACACCTCCAATCACTGGTGCATTGTTTTTCTTGGTAGTTTGTACTGAAGTTTGAGGGACTGGCGAGGACGACGGGTTAGTTAGAGGCTCGGGAGCAGTCGAAGATGATATTGGAATGGATTGTTGGCTATTGGTAGTTGCAGGAGATGACGGGCTAGATGATGTCGCTAGCGCCCACGATAAGAAATGCCATATTTCATGATATGGAAAATCTTACCTGACAACGGGGTATACTGAACATAGTCAAGCCAAAGATAGCTGCTTTGATTGAGATTGGTGATTTTTAATTGGTGTGGACCATTGCCCAATGTTGGAGAAGTAAAAAAGTTGTGGTGAAACAGAGTTCCTCCTTGTGCAGGAGCTGTAAAAGTCACCGCAGGTTGACCATCAACCTGGTATGATGAGATTGGGGCTCCCACATCTTGCCCCGCGTAATGAATGGGGCCGACGGTACCAAATACACTAACGCTGACACCTAATAGCGCACTACGTCAGTACAAGAAACTCACAAATTCTACAGTGCAAGGAAAATTGGTACAAACCAGAAAAATTGAACAAGGCCATCGAACCTGCCGTATTCGTTCCTGTGGTAGTGTTATCGTATTCGAATCCCGCTTGGCCCCCATGAAACCATGAACCACTGTAAGTGAAACTGAAGTCACGGTCGTCGAGGGTTATGGACATGGAAGAGAGATAATCGTGATCTCACGAGTCGTAAGACTAACGTTGCTTTTATCGAAACAATAATTAGCTGTAACCTTGTTATTCATGGATGTGAGAGTATCAGCCATTTAACTTCCCTTTTGTATGCTGTGTAAAACTCCCCCATTTGCCGATCACTGTCTTGTAAGAATGGAACGCTTGCTTTTTGTGGTATTGATTTGCTGTGAGTTCGATAATGACCTGGTTTACACCATGTTCGCAACAAAGCATGGTCTCCATTTAACATTCAAAACTAGTTCGAACCGAATGTGTTAGATAATTCGCTTGGCACCACTCCCTTAGAGAGTGCCGGCACCTCTTTTGCACCGTGGGGCATAGCGTTGCAGTGCTCGGGTCTAAACCATGATATCACAGTGAATGGCTACTGGAGACGCGAGGCACTGCTGTCGAGGTCCCGTAGAGCGCTGGGAATGGCACGGATATCTTCAACATAGCAAGCCTTGAAGCAAGTCTAAACCAACACGTACGAGACCTATGCCACCCTGCTGCACGGCATGCAAAAATCAACGGACAATCTCCATTCGTTCATGTGGTGGTTGGGAGTCCGCTAGATTATAAATCAGCATAGAACGTATAGAACGTTGACTAGCAAGGCACATGTCGTGATAGGCTCACCTCGACGCTTAAGTGCTCACCGATTACCATTGTTAAAATTTCAACGTTCAGAATCAGTGTAGACTACTTCCCTAACATGTGTCTCCTCTCAATACTATTATTGGGCTGTCACACTTCATGTCAAGTTAACAGAAGATGATGGAGTCCCCTCCTTCGCATCCGGACATCAGCGCTGAGCGTCGCCATGAGGAAGGAATTGATTCATGAGCAGGCAGAAAGATCGGTGGACTCGTATTTGGTAAGGCTGTTCGATGAAGACTGCTATGAGGAAAGAATTGATTAATGCACCGGCTGAAGGAACGCTGCCGGTGAACGTTTGAACTAGGAAAAGGGATCAATACATTGTTATGTAATATCACCAACCGAAGACTGCACAAACTTACAAGCCGCACTGGCTGGTACTGCTTAACCGTGATGGCATCGGCTGCTGTGCGAGCTCAAGTTGCAGCAAAATGGCAAGAGTCATTCAACCGCCTCAATCGCAATGAGCCAGGAATATCTGGTTTACTGGCTTTCAGCGAGGTATGTCATTGGAATTACCATGCATAAATATTCCAACTTCGCATTTAGGCATGGACTCTGGCCATAGAGTTTCTTAAACCACGAGATTTGAGCGACCCTGCGCCCCAAAAGCAATATGGTCGGTAAATATGAACACTTCACTGATTATTACTGAGTCTCAATCAGACTTGAATCAAGTGAGGGCAGCATTTGGCGTTGTCAGCGAGTGCAGGAGGTTACCTGTCATGATGGAGGTTTTCCTTGGTGAGACTGCTCATTTACGATGTTGCATTTTTTCTGACGGATGAAGAGGACATCCGAAAGAGTCAACACTTGATCACCCGAGAAGTTGAGGCATATATGACGCTTTACGAGGTTAAAGTTTCTGCACCCCTGCAATTTGTGGTGTCGCTCAATGCTTCATCACAGAGTAATTCTGACCCAGAAGCAATACGATCACTTGTGTATCGTTTGGTCGAGTGGTACAACGCATGGAAACCAACTGCAGAGTAGGTACCGTGTACCTTGCCAAGGTTAACATATATCTGATGTACCTTAGTCTGGGACCAACGATGATATCCGCCTACACTCTTGCGTTCCAAACTCATATTTTTTCTGTTCTTCCTCCATCTTTCGCTCGGGGAATCAAAGCTCTTGTTTCAGCCACACTGCAGCATACTGTATCCCAGTCCCAGGACCCTCAAGACCGCATCCTGTGGCAAGCCTTTGATACTCTTAGCCTCATCGACCGCTATGAAACCCTTATCGCAAGTATAGGATACGAGTTCATTGAATCATATATAGAAGAAACATGTGCTAGAAAGTGGTCAGAACCCATGCTTGCGACCCTTCGGGCCTGGATGATCGATAAAATTGTGCCATGGATGCTGTATCCATTTGCAAGGGGAGCAACCAATGGTGATTCACTTCAGTCGTCCAAGCTGCTGACTCACAAATCACTCAGCGGATGAGGCCAAGACGATGATGCAAGGCGTAGGGTCAAGGTTTGACTTCCATATGCATAAGACGCTTTGCAACCTAAGGTGAGAACATTTATATTAACCTTAAGTTGTGAAAACTTCATTTGCAGGACGAAGGAAATTTTTGACATCATCATCGATTTCCCGGAATCTGCAGGCGCCCTCCAGGACCTAAAGGTTGGTACGAATGTTTGTGGTCAATTACATTCTGAATGTTCTGTTGTACACGCAGGAGTGCTTGGCACGTGTCGATCAACGTGCGGACCTCGTACAAGCACTACGGCAAGCGTACGTCGTGGTCCATCGTTATCAACTGCAGCAATGACTCTGATTGTAACTTTCAGTAACAATAAGCGGCTCCTTCACCCGGGCGCAGATACAAAAGATATTCTGACGCATTATGTCTCGACGATCAAGTGTCTCAGAATCGTCGATCCTCCTGGAGTACTCCTATTTAAAGTGGCTGATCCCACGAGAAGGTATCTCCGGTACGTGCACGCGAAGTTGGAACGGGGAACAGCTGATGACATCTGCATGTTTGGTCAGAGATCGACCTGATACTATACGGTGCATAGTAGCAAGCTTGGTTGGAGATGGCGAGAGTGGGGACTCGCTTGTCGACGACAACGATCCCATTCAGCCCCTTCAACAACCCGAGATGGAGAATTACTCTGATCCTGAGTGGAATCCCGAACCCATTGATGCTGGGCCAGATTTTCGCGCGAGCAAGTCTAGCGACGTTATCAGCACCATAGTCAGCATATATGATACGAAGGACCTGTTCATTAAAGAACTGCAAGTACTGTTAGCACAACGCCTGCTGGCGGTGAAAGATGGAAATTTTGACCGCGAGGTTAGTCAGCTAGCCGACTGTGGTAGATATGCTCAAGAAGGTGCATGCAGCGTCGCAATGTCGAGATTTTGAAGATTCGATTTGGCGAAGCTGCGTTGCAGGTCTGCGAAGTCATGCTGCGAGATATGACAGATTCGCGCCGCATAGACCAGCATGTGCAATCGCAGACAGCGGTAAGTTGTTATTATGGACATGACAAGGTACGACGCTACTATTCGAAGCACAGAGTTCCATGCATCCCACGATTATATCTCGACACTTCTGGCCCGCACTTGAGTCCAGTGACATGGTCATGCCTGGGCAATTTCAAATGTACGTCCTTTACCTGTAACTGCTCCTGGTTCTGAACCAGTATAGCTTGCAAGAGCAATATGCCAAAGAGTTCTCTGTATTCAAACCTGATAAGGTCCTCCGTTGGTTACTACATCTTGGCCGGGTTCATCTTCAACTCGAACTCGAAGACAGGACATTGGAAGCTGACGTGCCTCCTCTGGAGGCGGCATTCATTGAACTCTTTTCTGAGAAGGGTAAGCGACCATTCAAAGCTGCATGACGGTACTAACCCTGTAACAGACGTATGGACAGTAGATGAATTAGTCCTCCGATCCGGCTCCATCAACCGAAATGCAGCTGTTAAAGCCCTTGGTACTTGGGTAGACATGCATATTCTAAAAGAAGACTCGGAGGGTGTTTTCCGGCTGCTTAGTGTTGCCGAGAGTCCTACACCAGGAAGTAGACCACAAGCACCTAAGCCTGGTTCGTTCACCTTTCGACGTGGTATATCCTTGTTGCTTATTTTAAACGACAGCGGAAGCGGGGGAGTTACCGCCTGTAATGAGCATGCAGCAACAACAGGCCGAACAAATGAAAATGTACTGGAAGGTATGCTTTGTTGTCGTTTGCACTTGTCACAGTGGATCTTACAGCAAAATGGCGCGAAGTTCATCGAGGGAATGCTTACAAATCTCGGTTCGCTGCCGCTGGATCGAATACAATCAATGCTCAAGTTTGCACCCGGCTATGATCGCACTGTGGAACAACTTGGGAGCTTCATGGAAGCTGCTCGAAGAGAAGGCTTGGTCAATGTCAAGGACGGTATGTGGAGACTTGGGAAGTAATGATTTCCCCCATTGGAAGTGTAAGTACGTCATAGCTTGCTACGTCGCGTTACATTATACGGAAAGCTTGCCCTGGCAATACTTAACCTCTAGAGAGCAAAAATACATGACTGCTTGCATGTTCGAGCTGCCCGTAGTCTTTTTAAATATGCATCATTGGGTATCCGTGAAGGTTCCAGTCGATCACAGTCGATGCAGGAGATGCGAAGTCGAATCCCTCGTGATTGAATTCAGACCAATAAATACTGCCTTTGCAAGGCCTTCGGGAGCTTGTTGAAGAATCTGTTCATACATGAGAATTGATCGCTCAGCCACCAAATTTAGATGGCTTACGCCATGGCCAGCTCCAGGAACCCTTTTCACAGACGCTGGAGATCTCCCTTGGGAGATGTCTGTCATGCAGTCTTGGAAATAAGATGGGCTGTTAGAAGGGAGCGAATCAGGAGAAGTTAAAATTTGAAACCACGCTGAATACTGCTTACATGTAATCATGAATGGTTCCGAACACAATGTGTACAGGAACCACGCGGCAAAGGCGGGTATACTGGTCGGTGGCTTCAAAATGGCTTTCGACGTCCTGATAAGCAAGCGCTTCATGTTGTAAGTCACATTTAAGAGTGACTTTTGTCTCCTCTTTGCTGCCATCTTGTACCCCAACCGAGTGAAAACCGTATTGCTAGATACGGCCGACTGCTTGATGATCCAAAATTTGGAGATACTAAAACCACTCACTGTGAAGACATTGAATACCTCGTGATCGTATCCTGCCCAAGGCTTCCGGTTTCGATAATAACTGACTGCCTCTTCCCAAGTATCAAACACACTACGTCGACGGAGAGTAGCACTTATGCTCTTTCTCATTAATGTTTCTCTTTCCATTTGGTGAGACATCCACAATTTGCGCGTAAGCATCGAAGGTTCAAGGAGAAACACTGCAACGAAAGGTTGATTGCGCATGGGAAATGCGCGTGTGGAGAGTATTCTGATGTTGAAGTCAGCTTCTGCGAAAAGTGCGGGAAATGGGGTGACTGACATTGCACTGGAACCCGCCGAGTGCCCCAAGCCGACTAGTCTGTGGCCCCTGAGAAACGGTGATTTTACAAAAGACGCGATCGCTGCTGCCCATTCTGCTATAGCTGGTGTAGATGAGGAAAGTGACAAGGAGTTCCCCGTTTTCGGACTCACAAACGTCCCCCGGCGGGCGGCGCTCGAGTGCAGCCTTGTTGATCACAGCGGCGTCCCCATGGTTCAACCAGTCGAAACACCAGGCCTCACGTATACAACTTGGCTGCTGCAAGTTCTGGTGGGAGAACAGATACCGAAGCATCGGTTCCCAATGTTCCTTATCTACGCAATCCACGGCAGTCAGTCACGCATGTACTTGAGAAAACACCAGCTTACTGACGCGCGCCCACTCCATGTGCAAACAAAAGTGTCAGACCTTGCGGGTCTGAAAAGGGGGTATAGTATCGTTTGGCGGTCATTTTCAGTCCAGGCAAACCATGTAGTGGAGGCGTATCAAACACAAACAACTCGGATCTGATTTGTAGAGGTGACATGGATGATGGCGGGCAAGAGGAAAAATACAGCCTCCATCACTTGCACACTCGCTTAATAGGACTGACACGCGAAGGCATACCAATGCTGGTATTGGACTGATCACGGCGACTTCGTGCCTCGATCTGCAGAGAAAAAAATAATCAAAACTTATGATAAGTCACAGGTGACTACAGACTACCAGGGAGTACAGCACATGAGCCAGCCGGTTGAGCGTTCCTGTTGCTAGACAAGTCGTTGCGGGGTTATTGAGTTCGGTGACGGCACAGTGCGTTATCCAGAATATATACATGTGGACGATCGTGATCGAAGGCGAGAACGCGAAGGCACAAAGATATCTTTGTGCCTATAAATACCCGAGGGCAAAATATCCGCGCCTTCGATACAATCGCAGGAAAGATCTAAAACATGTGCGAAGGTAGCTCCAAGTAACCGGGGGGGTGTTGGCGACGCAACTGCGGTAGGAGTTGACATCACAAGGATAGTGTCAAAGGAAATCGTGTGAACATACGTGGTGCACAGTACGCATTGGATATCACAGGTCCGGTAAAGCCCTGGTCTCCCCTATGTTGATCAAAAAGAAGGAAGACAGTCGCTCCTTCTTAAGCGCCAGCGTTGTCAAAGATGCCAACATTGTGGCACTGTCACACATGGTACCCGAAGATCACACGCATGCTTCGTTCTGTAATCTGCTAACCGTTGGTGTACTCAGTAGCAACCTAAAGAGACAGTGAAGTAACAGTAAAGCTAAAGCTAGAAGTACACACGTACCGAGCCAACCCGAAGACTTAGACAAAGGCGACTTGTCTGATCAAGCAGTTCAAAGTCAAAGTTCTTTGAGACCTTTGCCGTCAGGGTACTAAGAAAAAAAATCAGGTTTTCACCAAGGAGTCGGCGGCGGTGATAGAAGAGTAACTATTTCAAGTTGTCAACGTCGCGGCGACTTGAGGGCTCCCGCGCGCCTTTACGTTCTGGCATGCGTGAGGCTTTTCCTATCACCGACGATTCCGCGACATGTGTATGATACCGCTCTATCTGAACAGAATGTACTGCCCCGAACCAAGCTTCAAGTTGAAGCTTTGAAGCGTAGAAACTTAGTTGAGGCAATGAACTAGCTGCACTGATGAAAAATCAACGAGTACGCTGATCAGCACTTGACCGTTTTTTTCTCACGCGCACTCTGACCCTCGTCTCGGTCGGACTACGTCGGATCCAAGGATTGAAGGAACATGTCGTTTCCAGCTACAGCCCTCGGAGTTCTTTCCTTCTGGGTGTGTCAGGAACGCTTTAAGCGTCGACGTAAAAGCAGATTGACATGTTTTTGACGCAATATTAGTGGAGCCTCGCCTAACACTTGCGTAAAATAGGAGTCGTAGCAGGGTTCGGAGCCGTAAGTGCCCTGTTATTACCCTTCCGAAGTATTTCGGCATATGTGCGTCACCTCACTTACAGCAGAGGTCAAGACCTCCAACACCGCTTGGCAAGCTCGTGAATAAGGTTAAGCACTTTGCCATCGCGCGTCTACTGCAGTCTACCTCTGCCTACCACATCTGACCCCCCATCACGCGCTAGGCCCAATGGCGACCAGTCTGGCGCTGCCTCTACGCCTCGAAACCTCACACTGACTCGGACCCCCGCGCCAAGATGTGACCTCCTGCCACTTCCTGCTTCCGTCAGGTCATCAGGAAAATGTTGGAGTACTTATTCAGCTTTATTCTACTTAGTGACCCACATAAGATGGAAGATGATTCAAGAAATACAAGTAAATTTGGTCACTCTCTGAGGAAGACAAGGAAGCAAAAAAAAATGAAGGAGGACATATCCCTGTTTTTTTTTATGAAGCTTGACCAATTTCAATGAAGGATCCTGAAACAGATTACACGGCTAAGTCATTGATAGTGATGGTACCGGCGCAGGCTCATGTTTTGGAATACCTGGTGATGATGATACCGATAGATACGAGCAGCACAATCCTTCATGCCTGATGGAGATGCAGTTGACGTCGGAAACATCGATATTGAATAACTCACTGTGACGGCGTGTCCCAGGCCGGGGTTGTCGGCGAGATAGGATGAGTTTGGCGGAGAAGGACGATGGTGGTCATACGAGAGCGTGGGTGTCAAAAGAGCACCTTCAGCCACCGGAGAAGGACAAGTGGAGTTTGGTGCAGTGGAGGGCGTATGCACTGATAAAAATTGACTGTCTGTCTTGGGAGTTAGATAACCGCGGACGGGAGACAAGCAAAGAGATGAGTAATAATTATGTAATGAATATTTTTGAACGTTGATGTTAACAACCCGAGTTGTAACTTCCGTGTATTAGACGAATCATCGTTGCCGATTACGTTGGTGAGCGCCAGAAAGTTGTGATCAAGAGGCTTTTGCCGCCGCTAACGTTCCTACTGCTCGGTTACGTACTAAGTCAGGCAAATTTGCAGCTGTTGTATGCATTACGTTACGTACCCATATTCTTTGGGATTCGGATGGGGTAACAGGATACTCAAGTACTCATCACTCGTAAAATAGGCTATTGGTCGGTGCTTTGCGGAAGGAATGTTTTTACTAAAAATCTTTAGCACGCCTGAAGAAAACTATATAAAAGCTGATGGTTCGTATCTCGAACCATAGCCATCATCCGACTCTCACTTTTCTTCTCTATCTGCTTGCTCATGACGACCCACAACGAGCTATGGTTGACTTATCACCAAGCGTCACGCTGCAACAAGCCAGCGACGACTCAGTTGGTGGAACTTGAGTTTCAGAATGAGAAGTTGACTGACTTGGAGGATGTGCTCGAGCATTTATTCCGCCAGGGATTCATCGAGGCCCAGCATCGGTCGCTGTCATATTGGGAGAACCACAGCGGGCAGCGACTCAGCCCAGGTCATGCTCTAGAAGAACTGCTGACGGAAGGTGAAGGCAAATGCCCCCAGTCTGCTCTTAGGCTGATCATTGGTGAGCAACTAATTTTTGATGCGAAATTCGATCCTTACCCCGGGAAGCCGATTGTCCGTCCCATTTGTGGTTCAGTTATGTCTATACTCACAAGAGTGCGGCGCCCGCCGTGACGCAGCGCGTTAAATTTTGTCATGCCCATGAGGCAAAGCTTGAAATCATAGCCCACCTCACCAACCACATTTTTCGTAATGGCTATCTTCCCGCACGATATCGGGCAGTGGTGACTTGGCAGGGTACTTGTGGAAGGAAGATAGAAGAACACGAGAACCTTGATGCTCTGCTTACCGCAGGAGAGGGTCTCTCCGAAACTTCGCCCCTACGTCTTATTATAGGTAAGTTTCGTAGTTGTCAGTTCTGCTGAGGTTTTCGCTAATGGTGCCATAGATGCCGCCTGCGCACATACCAAACCATGTCATGCAGCTTGTCACTAGGAACGAAAGTTGGTGACCATTTTATCGAGGGAGTCGGGCTGGTATATATTTCTCCTTATCATGCTCTGGCAAGCGCTGTGACTTTGAGCTGTGGTTGGTTGGTAGTTACAGGTGTTAACGTTTAATGCCAGATTGTGGACGATCCGTCTGAATCGAAGGAGAAGGACTGATCACAAGCAAATTGACGGTCTTACGCAGGCTTACGGTTAGAGCATTGAAGTGTTATAACATACAGTTCTTAGTCATCCAGTTTGGAACGGGTTAGGGCCGGCGTGTTCATACTTCTTGCCGTAAGCAATCCATTTCGCAGGCCCCTTGCACATAACCCATCCATCCATCTTCCTTTCGTTACGCTCACGACAGTGAAGTAAATTTATCGGAGGTTGTGCCACGCTCAGCCATGGCGAAAAGGCATTACTCAGCTCTATCACAGCCCACCCTATCGATGAGCGAGCTGATATGCAAAACGCTCGATCATGATGCTACAGACATGTTAATCGACAAGTGGCTTGAGCATCGCAATGACGCGTATTGGGAATGGTTTCAAGGTGTCAGGGAGCGAAAACACGCCGCAAATTCTCTTAGACGCCAAGTCCTCGTCTGGAATAAAGGAGATTTCCTTCCAGAAAACATCTTCTGTCGTACAGTCGACACCGGTCGTCTGATTCCTCTGGATCGCACCTGGTCGACACATGTATATCACCACAGGTCGATGCAAGACCGAAAATTGTCCATGATGCCTGTTGTATTTACTATGGTAAGGACTTCGCTGACGAGATCTTGATTATCGTAACTGAGAATAATCTTAGCTTCCTGAGCTGATGATGCTCAGAGGGATGCATGACCTTGGCTGTGACGATGTATACATCATTGTTACAGACATGAAACGCCAAGAGATGGACGATGTAACAGAATACTTCAACCTCGTTTGTCGACATACTTTCGGGCGCACGTGTAAACCCAGCATAGAGAACGAGATCCAGTACAATCGTTCGTGACCATGAATTCGTTGTCATTCCGCGTGTTGACGTTGACTTGGTCCTAGATATGCGTTTGAGCCATACTCTCCTCAAACAACGACGCACACCATGTTTTCCTCAGATTGATATCGCTTTCCGAGCCATTCTCCACGAGAAACGACCGCCCTTCATCATCTTGTTCTCCCATCAGACCACTTCCTATTCCCAAATTTTATTCACGCATCCGCTGTTCGTTCCATCAGAAGAAATATTCTTTGACTTTCCTAGTGGTTGTCCCAACCCTTGCTGTAACGACGACTGCGAGATGATACGTTTTCCTCGGCGTGGCATCGAAGGTGCAGCGGTATTGTCGATAAAGCGCGGTCGTCGAAACGGGAGGAAGGTGAGATCTCGGGAGATGTGCAACTGGATCGACTGCAACATCTGTTTCAACGAAGAAACATCGCAGTACCCCGAGAGTAGTGAAGGATCGCAGAGCAGCGCCGACAGTGGGGATGCTCCGACCAATAATGGACTTGTGTGTAGCAAGTGCCGGTTGGTGAAGTATTGTTCTCCTGAACATCAGAAAAATGACTGGGAAGAGCATCGCCGGGTTTGTGCTAAGTCAGCTTCTATCTGACTGTACTTTATGGGCAAGCTCTCGATTTTTTCTTCATCCAAAGACATTAATATTCTTGCTAATGTTGTACTGTGGTCTACTGCATTTTCACTGTACACCGGTCATCATTTTTCATTGTCTCAGCATCTTGTTATCACTGATACTTTTGATGAGCTGTTTATCGATTATTCAATATTATATTTGGACTTGGACTTTCCGCGAATTTCAACTTCCCACCCTTACTTACCAGAAATCAGTCATGTCCATCCGTTTCCTCACCGCGCGGCTGGCCCAACAGGTGTATAGAATGTTATCATTGCGTGTTAGCTACGAGCTCATTCGAGCAACGGACAGATTGATGAGGAGCTTATGAATGCAGTTGGAGCGTTCAGTTTGGATCAGGCACGGGGCTTCAGTCCCATATCAGCACACGATACTCAAACATGATCTGTGTTGCAGTTGATGGAGCTGGCTGGGTTGGCCTGCGCCCAAACGCTATCTACAGTGTACAGCAAGGAAAAGTATCCGAAAGTCTTGGTATGTTGTGGACCAGGAAACCAAGGGGGAGATGGATTAGTTGCGGCTAGACATCTTGGTGTGTTCTCAGGGTGACCTACACCTTGCTATAGTGCTGAATTTGCTCAGCAATGTTTGGTTACAAACCAACGATATACATGCCCAAGGTAAATCACATCCGCCTAGTAAAGTAACAGTCCCAAAATGTAACCCCTAACAGCCAGGCTCAAAAGACATCTATCAGGTCAGTCTACATCGTCAAGCGGTTTTGTCCAATTTATACAGCGTCTTAACGGGACCAGTAGCGCCTGCAAAAACAATGTGTCAATATGGACATCCCCATCATTCCACCCTCAGCATCTGTTGAGGAGCTGTTTCTTGCCCTCTCGTCCTCGAACGTTATTCTGGATGCCATTTTTGGGTTTTCGTTCAAACCTCCAGTGCGGGCACCGTTTTACGATGCCCTGGAGTTTATATCTGAATCCGGGCTTCCGATTGTCTCGGTAGATATTCCAAGTGGATGGGATGTCGAATTCGGAAATGCAGAAGGCGTCGGGCTGAATCCTGATGTCCTACTCAGTTTGACAGCACCGAAGATAGGAGCAAAGTACTTCAAGGGAAGGCATTTCCTCGGAGGGCGTTTCGTGCCAAAGTAAGTGTTGACGAGTTGGATCGCTGTAATGATATCCATATCTGCTGTCAGGGCAATTCAGGAGAAGTTCCAGCTCAATCTTCCCGAGTATCCTGGATTCGATCAAATCGTGGAACTACCGAGGAACTAGCTTTGACTATGGTACTTATGACATGGGTAGGAGTGACAAGACGGTTGCACCGTCAAATATGAATGCAATCTCAGGCAGACAACCCTCATAATGAGTCCGATCTTGCTCTTTCCAGCTTCCTACGGCTACCATATGTAACGGCTTTTCGTCGAGAACTCCACGGGGGTTTGTCCAGCAATGATGGCAGATACCATAGGATGAAGCTCAACGAGTCAATATCAATGACGCCCGTGAGTACATGCCAGTACATAAGTTTTGAACCGTGCTCTTGAAAGCAATGATTGAGCCGAAGTTATTTGCTGGGTTACCATTTATAAGTCTCGTTTTCCTCTGTAGCATCGTAGTGGCGCAGGCGCCAGCCCCCGACTCGCTTATTCCTAGCATGTGTCGTGTCCATCGAATTAAACACAGGCTAGTTTTTATTTCATTTTGCGTTGCAAGCTGAGGACAGAGTGAGTCTGACAGCCAGGAAAATGATGGACGTTCCTTCGGTTGTTGGCTCTTCCAAATTCTGATGCGACTGATGATGAATTGAAAGCTAAAGTTTGGTGGAATAATTGAAAGTGGCAGACCGAGCCATACCGTGTGTACTAGTTCAGTTGCGTGCGCTCCTGTTTTATGTCGATGCCGAGGCGGAAGTTCGGAACGAACAATTCTTTATTTTCGATTGCCGCAGCAAGGCCCAGGCACTGGACAGAGGTGTCAGGAGAGAGGTCGAGTCTAGGACACCCCCATAACGAAGGCCTCGGGACACCACGCAGGAGGGTCCACCGAAGCGTGCATAACGAGAACTGAATGTCAACTTGACAAGCCTCTAACAAACTTGAATAAGGTGTAAAATGATTGTAAGGGCCGAAAAAGCCCTTTGAAACACCCGGGTGTAGCCGATAGAGGTTTCTGGAGGTGGGAATCCCATCGTGTTAGAACTCAGCCCTTGTCCACTAACGTCGAGTCGGGGATTCGGTCTGGCTTGGAGAGACAACTACTTTTCAAGTCGTCGAAACTATATGGTCCCGCTAGTGCGAGCTTTACATGTTTCGGAAACCTCGCGGTGTAGTGAAACCGCTACATACGCGACGGAGCTAAATGGTAGTTGGGCGATTGGGTCGTGAGTTCTTAGTTATATCTAGTCGTGTGCTCATTGCGAAGGGAAGCATTCAGAATTCCTCAAGGAGGTATGCATGTTGCTCTTCTGAAGGTTGTTTTATGGCAATAGGACACTGCCAGGTTACACATTAGGGCAGGTCGTAGAAGCTTGCACTCGATTTCAATTGGAGACAGTACATAAAGATCCAATCCACGTAACCGCCCATTTTCTTCGTGCGACAAACGTTGGGCCTGCGGAAGTACGCGTCAGTGTCCAGAAGATAGGGAAGAATTTCACTAATCTTTCAGCGGACCTCGCCCAGGGGGTGAGTGACACGCACGCTCTCCGCGATTGCCGTGTGGTTGACCATGTGAGCACTGAGCAGGGGCACGTCAGACTGACATCCCATCTTATCTTTGGTGATCTTACTCCCGTGCCGGACGGAATTCCTCGCAGCTTGGCAGCACCATCTCCATATGCTCGACGTTTACCCCTGCCCAATCATCCTTCTGCGGCCGTCCGAGATAGAATGAGGCATACTTGGAGGTTCCACTCCCTTCTGAGTTGGTCCATGGATCGCACCATCCTGGCGCGCAATGCTATGCGCAACCAGATCCAAGCTGATACTGAAATCATAGGTGGAGGAGGCGCCGAATGGGGCGCGTGGTGTGAGCTAACCAGAACAGAAGATGAAATCAAGCCTTCGTCTATCCCATTTTTTGGGGACATGTTCCTCAATCTCCCTTCTCTCTTACCCGACTCAGAGCCAGCTAGTCATGGAACATCAGATTGGTTCGTTCTGTCCTGTATTCTAGTCGCGGAACATTGACTCCCTTCTCTAGTTGGTTCCCGACTGTGACCATGACAGTCGAATTCAAGGCCCGTATTCCCTCATCTCAGGATTATGCTTCTCGGACAGTCGGATTATACAGCGAATCACATTTCTTGACTGATCCCCATGGAAGACATAATGCTCGCGTTGAAGTTTGGACTGCCCCCTCTGCAATTGGTCAGGGTAAATTAGAAGCTGGTTGGAGGGACAAGCAATACTGTATTGCAGTTGCTGACCAAATGGCTCTCACTCTACCTATGGACCTCAACCACCGTCAAGGCAACAGGAACAAAGTGGTCACCAAGCTGTAGACTACTAACCGGTGAAATCGTTTGGTAGTTTCGAAATACATTTGAGCTAGACTTACTAGGGTCTACGTATACCCGTATGGCCGGAATGCAGCTATCGCTGTATGTGCAAGCGTGGGGACACTGGAATGTTACAATGTCACTCGGATCCCGATGTCAGATCAACCGTATCCAAAACTCCATATTTGTCTCTGCGGACAGCCTAGAGCATAATATTTCTCACCGAGACGCTGGCCGTGAAAACTACTCTCAGGATTAACCGAACGAGGGATTGGCGTAGTAGCCCGGATTGGCAACTATTATTAACCTTCTCGGTCTTGCTCAGATATCTTGCTCAGACCGGATGGAAGCTTCGCTATCAGAAACGGTTATACAAAGCTCCGGTTCACCGACCCTGCTTTACCGTTCGAGCTTTACCATTATCCTCGAACACCCTGCCCTGATGTTTGTCTGCGAGCAATATGGCAGGTGGCTCTTTCATGACAGGCAGGTGATATGGTACGAGGAGCGATTATTACTCTGATAAATTATCAATAGGTTCCCACTCCTTCTGATGACGATTGTTCTCGCGTTATTGTCATTGTGGTTCCTTGGGGCACGATGCGGCATAGTATGATGACACGTCAATTGACAAGGTTATTTTTGGGAGGCTCTCCTCTTGAACGGGTTCTTCTTTCCCCTGCCAGTGCTTTACAGTCTATCAATATATCCTCCGGTTACTGGTAATGCCTAGGAGCCTTAGCACCCATCTCCAACCCGACTTATATAAACAGTGTCACTCAACGCAGTTGTCTTCACTTTGTCTTCCCAACTTTGTTATCTCAAGCCACTCGAACTATGTCACACGTCGTTATCCGTGGAATCCCCTTTGCAACTCGTCTGCGCGCAGCCAAAGGTGGCGCCAGGCAGCTTCTTGAGCGCGACCGCGCCCGCGCACAGAAGTTTCTGGCTGGCAAGTCCCACCATACCCCCTTGGGTACCGCTCTATCCGCTTCAGTTCCTTCTAGCAGCAGCAATACTGCAAACTCTAGCATTGACGTCACCGATTCAGGTGTCACTTACACCATGCAAGTTGGTGTTGGAAACCCAGCCACCCAGTATACATTGTTGATCGATACCGGTTAGCGGAATGCTGATGACGTAAATGTGCTTGGAATTTATTTATTTGTCAACAATTTTTCAGGTAGTTCGAATACTTGGGTTGGTGCAGACCTGCCATACAAACCCACAAGCTCCAGTCACAACACTGGTAACACTATAGTGAGCTAGCTTCTCTGAGTCTTATGATACTGTTAACAGACTGGTCTGGAACTTAGAATGTTAGCTATGGTTCGGGAACTATGTCCGGAAAGGAATGTAAGGACTGCTTCTTTCGGCTACAATCGCACCAATTAAATATGGATCAGACACCGACACCGTGACCTTGGGGTCAAGCTTGGTTATCCAGAACCAAGGCGTTGGCGTGGCTTCATCCGCGCAAGGGTTCGAGGGCGTTGATGGCATATTGGGGTAACGTTTGGTCTGAAAAGCAATGATTCGTAGTGCTGATGTCTTCGCAGTGTCGGTCCTGTAGACCTTACAGAAGGAACCGTGTCTAACACAACGGATGTGCCTACGGTTACCGACAACTTATATGCTCAGGGAACAATCCCCTCCAATTTACTCGGCATCTCCTACGAGCCGTCCTCCAATGCTGACGTAGCCAATGGAGAGCTCACATTCGGTGGGACCGATAACACCAAGTAAGAAGACACCTTTCTTTTGGTTCCGATCTTGTCTGACATCATATGTCAGGTACACTGGCACGCTCAATACCGTTCCACTTACCACCACCTCCCCAGCCTCGCTGGTAAATCACAGCCTGAGCGAAAATGTACTGCTTACTAATCTTGACGATCGAACAGTATTGGGGTATCAACCAAACAGTATCGTACGGCACTGGCCAAACAATCTTGAATACAACTGCCGGCATCGTGGACACTGGCACTACCCTTCTTCTCCTTGCCACTGGTATGCACACATATCCCACCGTGAGATTTGACACTCACCGAAATGTACAGAGGCCTTCCAAGCCTATCAGAAGGCAACTGGTGCCGTCGAAGATCCGTGAGTTCAGCTCGATGAGCCTACGATATTCTGTTTATTTTATGTGGATCAGGACTACAGGACTCCTAACCATCACGCCACAACAATACGCCAATCTTCAAAGCTTGTACTTCAAGATTGGCAATGTAAGTTTTGATCTCGTACGATGAACCTCGATTGATTTATTGGAATAGGTTACCTACGACTTTACGCCTAATGCTCAGATCTGGCCACGTAATCTGAACAGCATCCTTGGAGGAGAAGAGGGCCAAATCTATCTCATTGTGTCTGACCTTGGTTCCTCATTCGGGAGCGGGCTGGATTTCATAAGTACGTCCCATATTATCTTGCTGGGGCCCGGGTCTTACAAATGCCGTGTGCATTCCAGACGGATTTGGCTGGCTTCAGCGCTTTTACACTGTCTTTGACACCGGGAACAAGCAGCTCAGTGTTGCGACTACGACATACACTGATGCTGATACCAACTGATGACCGTCCCCACGCTGCCTTCTGACACGGAATTCTTTTGTTTTTGAGGACTACATATTTTAAGCTGCATACTCAATCTATACAATTTTGCTGGTAAATTGTTTCGGGCGTGTACCAGTAGTATTCACTGCGGCTGGTAAATATAGAAAAAAACACCTGTCATTAGCATGAGCTGCTAGTGACAGTCAGACGTAACGCCAAGTCTGAGAGATTGGAATACATGATCAAAGCTCGTTGGATGCAATATTTAATACTATGATCCAATACTTACTGGTGGAGCCACTGCAGTGATTCGTTGTATTGATTCGCGCGCTGCTGGTATGGGGTGTTGTTGGTGCCTCGCACCCATGATTCAGAGCGCTTGAGCTCTACATCTTCCTGTAGACTCAAGACCATCCTGATTTATATTATCACAGGTGTTTCGAGAATCGTCCTAGATATGCAATTGGTCATGCAATTTGAAGTTACTATCAACCTCGAAACGGAGGACACGAGTAGCGGGCACGCGTCCCATGGCGCAAATTTTCAATATAGCAGCCATATATCACATATGCGCGTCATAGACGAGTGTCTTTGACCGCTAATTTACTCGACCAGTCCTAGATCTTCGAAGAATCAGTAAATGGTAGTATTGCGAGGGCTACCTCGATCGAAGTGCAAATGGGGTGGGGCCCGTGACTCGATAATACTGAGAGAATAAGAAATCATAACAAAGACTGTGAGTATCCACATTCAAGTTGCGAGAGTATGAAAAAGAGTTTGGCGGAAGCCTGCGGAGCTCTCCCGGCCAGAAGCAAGAGACTGAACCTAAGCTTGAGGGTGAGCTCGAGCACTAGTACGCGTCGGAATGAGATGGCGGTTGTTCAAGTCGTACAAGGTTTTAGAGTGGCTGACCAGTGTGGGTTCAGGTGGGAAACAGATAAGAGTGTGGTTTGAAGTGTGAGTATTTTACTGCAGAGCGCTGCGTGGGACCGCGATACGTGTTCCACTTCGTTCACTCACAAATACCATTCTAGATGTTTCCCCGATTGCTGCCCACGCAGAATTCGACTGCTAGATCATGACGCCCTACTATATCTTAACATCTGGAATCTCTTAGGTCCTGGCTAGGCCGATGACAAGCATGGCACATTTAGCGACCCAATTCAGCATCGATGTTTTCAAGTATACGTGCACTGTTGCCGTGGACAATGGACTAGATTACATCTAGCTTGACATACTCTGTATCCTGCAGAATGACAGCGATAACAAGGCCTGGCAGATCCGTCAAATGTATAGCATCTACAAGTCAGTTGTGCGCTGTACATAGTGCAGGACGCAGACTTAGTATGCAGGTAGAAGAAACGACGTTGTCCATGTCAAGTGCCAGCGCATTTTTCGCCAATACCCAAGTCATTCAAGGTCAATCAGCCACGTGTTCCCTTGGTCATGCCTTTCAGGTCACCAGGGCGGAAGAAATTTGAATCTTTCTCGATGATCTTCTCGGTCGTGCAGAAGATCTGAATATCAGCGCACTCCTCACTGTTCTGAATGACGGGGGTGTAGAGTCAGTAGCTGATGCACAAGTATTTTGGCGATACTTGCCCATGCATACATCCTCAATCCTGGACGCCGTATTCAGTATCATGGGTTTTTTCCATTCAATCGAGCTTAGAATTAGGAATCCAATGCATTCTACTCTTCTGAGATTCTTTCGAGGACTGAGATACTTAACTGCTGCTATTGTACGGTAGAATTGGTATACATGGTAACTTGTGATCCGGGAGTTGTGGTGTACAATAAGAGATCTACACATTAAAATTTGAAGTTCAACTGACATGCACTTTGCTCATGAGGTTGGCGAGTGTATCTGCAACCATCTCGAAGGTTGATTTCTCCTCCGTTGCCAGTGGTGCAGGAATTTCCTCCGCTTTCTCAGCCTCCTCTGGCGACTCTTCGACATTCTCTTCATCTTCCTCCTCCTCCTCTTCGTCCTCTTCCGTACGGATAAGCTTGCCGCCGTGAGCTTTCAGGTGTTCAGCGATGTCATCTAGGTGTTCGTTATCCTCAACGTCATCATTGTCCTGCAGGTCTAGCCGTTTCAGCTTGGTCAACTTCGTCACGGCTTGGGCAAGGACCTCGTAGCTTTTGGCATCGAGGTTGTTGTTCTGCAATCGTAGCTCCTGAAGATTCTGAAGGTTCTTCGTATTCGCATCGTTGAAAGCTTCTAGGAGTGGTGGCACTTCGCCTTCTCCGTTCGAGAGCATGCAGTCAGAGAGGTCTAGGAAGCGTAGCTTTGGCCAGCTGGTTTTGACGGCCTCACCCCATGCACGAACAGCTTTCCGACCTTCTTCATCCATTTCCACATCTATGAATGCATTGTCCTGGAAATTGACGATCTGCAATTCAGAGCATGCGACAAGACCTCGCCCAAGGGCCTCAGCACCATCCATACGAATGCCGTTCTGGGGCATTTGCACCTCTATGAGTGTCTTGTGTGCCTCGAACGCCTTGGCCCAGGCGGTAGCTCCTGGATCCTCTAGCCGATTTCGGCCGCAGATGACAACCTCAAGATTTGATCGGGAGCCATCTGTTGGTGCAGACTTGCACACAGCTTCTGCAATCTTCTTGCCACCAGCAGGCCCGAGGCCATTGTTATTGAGGCGGAGGACGCGTATGGAGTGATTAGTTTCGAGGAAGGGTGTAAGGAAGGGTACAACGCGCTCTCCGAATGCGTTATCATTGAGGTTTATCTCTCGAAGTGAGGTCTTGTGTGAGAGTGGATCGAGGAGTGCTTGTATGGCAGCAGGGATCTCTTCGATAGTACGTCCCGTGAAAATATCTCCCAAGTCTGCAAGCTATACACGGGTCAGTGGTGATTGATCCTCAAGTATTAATTTCATGAATAATATCACGCACTTGAAGCACGTCTGCAGTCTCGAGGAATCGACCAAATTCTTTGGCAGCCTCCACGCCGATAGAATTGCCTCCAAGGTGGATAGCGGTGAGTTTGGTAGGGTCGACGCCGGTGATGAAAGGGGCAGCGTCAGCAGCTGTTTCAAGCTTTAACTGTTTGCCACGAATGTCAAGAATTGTCTTAGACGCTACCATGGTTAGCGATGTGCAATCGATCGTGGTGAGCGTTGTTCACAAACACAAGGGTGAAATCGATAATCCCAAAATGGGAGCGCAACTTTATTGAAAGTCACGTGAGTGCAGTATTTTCCGTCACCCTCCTGATTGACTACGGCGGCGAGCACGGTGAGATTGACATCATCAGCAACGGCAGACCAAACACTGCATGCGCCAGCTAAAAGCTTCTTTCTAAATCATATGGCCACGATGACCTCGGAAAACGCATTCGACCCGCTCAGCATCAATCTTGCAAAACAAAAACGCGCACTCCGCGCTCTTCTGCCTCCCGATTCCTTTCATATCCAATGTATAACAGAAGCGAACACACCAGTACACGCTCTATCCACATTATCTCGCCTGCTAGCTGTTCCGGCTCTCACTCTGACTATCGCCGATCTGTTCAGACCTCTTTTGATTGATTTATGCGCCAGATGGCTTCACGACGATGACGATATCGAAGACAGGTTCATCGCATTTTGTCTCCTCATTGAGTTTCATGAGGAACTATATCCGTATGTTTTGTTATCGTCCTTGTGTTTTTCGTCTCACATCTGGTTCTAGATGCTTATATGTTTTCTTGCAAAAACCATGTCTATCCAAGGGACCACTTGCTTTCATAGCTGCGGCTCCTTCTGTGGCTGAAATTGAAACTACTCGTCTGCACTGCATGTTGCTTGCATATTATCGCCTTCTCCGCGCCAATCGTCTCCTTCCCAAGCATCTACTATGGGACGAGTCGCTATTATCCAAACTACTCTTCCCGCCTCACCCCGATACAGGTGTACGGTTGCTCGCTGCTCGCTGCTATGCATCGCATGTTAGTATGGCAGAAATTGAGCGCGAGAGGCTCATCAACCATGTCCTCGGCGAGTTTTGCGGCGTTGATTGCCCGATTAACTATGGCCAGACTATCGATGGGACTGTCGTTGAGACTGACGGCTGGCTCATGCCTGCATTGGAGATCAAACGTATTCATGATGCACGCGATGCCATTCTCGAAAATTCCGATTTTTACTCTCCTGAGGCAGAGGACGTATTGCAGCCTCTCTCGGAGGCAGACCTGAGGTTCGTCGCCTGCTATATCGTCGCAAACATGAAACTAATGCTTCTGCTAGTCCCTGGATTGCTAACATCCATGGTTTATTGATGCTCAAGTCATCTCCAACCATGCCTTCTCCTTCAGACATCATTGCAACGCCTTCCGCTATCGCTGCTCTCCGTGAGATTGCGGCACACCTTTCTCTTCGCTTGCCTATCCTCCTATCTTCCCCACCTTCCTCAGGAAAATCACTCTTCATATCCCATCTCGCTTCCAGATTACACCCAACGATGCCAGTCAACGAGCTCATCGTGACCGTTCACCTGGCCGACACGTCCCTCGACCCTCGGGCTCTTCTTGGCTCGTACATTTCCTCACCATCACAACCTGGGACTTTTGAGTGGAAGGATGGTGTCCTTGTGCGTGCACTGCGCGAGGGGCGCTGGCTAGTGCTTTCTGACATAGATCGTGCTAGCATGGAAGTTTTGGCCCTGCTGAAGCCACTTGTCGAGAGTATGGGCCTTGGGAATTGGATTGGACACCGCGCAGGTATAGAGGTCCCCGGCAAGGGCCGCGTCGAGGCGCGTGAAGGTTTTGCGCTCTTTGCCACTCGATCACTTGCTGTTGGGCACGGAAAGAAGGTGCCTCCCCCAACATTCTTTGGTTCACATAAATGGCATGAAGTGATGGTGGACGCACTAGACGCAGAAGAGGTTAGATCTATCATAGAAAACAGGTTCCCGAAGATTGTGGGAGCTGCTGCGGCTCTTATCAAGGTCTGGGGTGATGTGCAAGCACTCGGCTCAACATCATCTTCCCGTCCTGTTGGGCTACGCGAACTTCAGAA